TCTTGGTGTGCATTCATTTTGCAATTGGGACAATGACAAAGTCCCATCTTGCAGACAATAACTTCATCTGAAGCAAAGACGCTCAATGGAATAGGTTTCATTGGAAAATGTAGGTCTTGCTCCAGCCTCCATGTGACATATTTCTATAACAATGGTTGTCTACGACATGAGTGAGTGAGTGAGTGAGGTTTTACGCCGCTTTTAGCAATATTCCAGCAATATCACGGCGGGGGACACCAGAAATGGGCTGCACACATTGTACCCATGTCGGGAATCGAACCCGGGTCTTCGGCGTGACGAGCGAACGCTTTAACCACTAGGCTACCCGACCGCCCCGTCTACGACATGAGTATTGGTCGATACGCATTACGCATTATGCATTACTACCTCATTTCAGTACCCGTGAAGATCTGGGGTGAAGATCCGTAAGAGGCGACTAACGGGATGGGTGGTCAGGTACGCTTTGTTGATGCATGTCATCGATCCTAATTGCGTGGATCGATGCTCATGTTGTCAATCACTGGAATTTCTGGTCCACACTCGATTATTTTCAGACCGCCGTCATATAGCTGGAATATTACTGAGTGTGGCGTTAAACAACAAACAGACAAAACATCGTTTCAGCAAGAGACAAGCTATTGTGGTTTGACGTTTTATTCAGGAAACTTCAGGATACATAGAAATGGTTTCCTCAACAGACAACTAAGTATATTTAATTTCCTTTAAAATAACACGTGTTTTAGTACACAACATGTGATTTTTACCGTTATACTTACCTTCACGTCAAACGGTAATTGTTTTCAAATAGTCCTTGTAGCCGTCGTATACATGAAATTGTAAACGTGTTCGTCAGGCGAGACATTTCAAAACATTATGCAATATGAGGTGTTGATGATCTTCATATAGTTTTTACACATGCCCATGCCTTTCGCTGCGTCACAACAATTATATTTCATAAAATTTTGTTATCTTTAAACACCAATATCGAAAATCAATCAACAGACACAAGAGATAGTAAGCACTTCATCAGAAACTGTTCGTATATGGATTATTTTATCTGAAACATGAATACTTTTGATGAAAGACATATTTAACTGTAAGGAGGCGGTCTGGAAGCCTAGTGGTTAAAGCGTTCGCTCGTCACGCCGAAGACCCGGGTTCGATTCCCGACATGGGTACAATGTGTGAAGCCCATTTCTGGTGTCCCCCGCCGTGATATTGCTGGAATATTGCTAAAAGCGATGTAAAACCATGTGCACTCACTCACTGTAACTGTAAGACAATGAGTGAAACGGGGTTCAGCATGAGCTTGAAACTACAGGCGGCCCAGTTGATGGGTAAACACAACAGAAGTGTGTTGATTGTACATGTATATGTTATGTAAAGGGCATAAAGTGTTCAATTATTATATCCTCTGATTTCTAGTATTATGAAACCCAAATGAAAAAATACATTCTCAAAAAGAAAGGACCAGGAGAAATGTAACTTAAAATGTTATTTATGGGTACACACAGTTGTGTAGGCGCGTCTTATTATTTTTAGGCGCTCAAGTTGGACGTAACCCTGACATGATAAATTATAATTAGAAAATACTAAATTTGAATCGGAGTGACTTTCAACCAGACTATTGGAGAGATCTGCAGAAGTTTAACAGTATAGTGTGAAGTATATATCACACCTACAATGTCGACAACTGTAATGACCAGTCTCTTTTGCTCTTAATTCTTTATTCTGGTTTCTTTCATTCTTTCTTATCTATTTTTTGTTGTTGCTCTTTTGCACATACACATTGGCTGAAACAGGTGAGAAGCTGTCTCAGTGCTGAACAAAAACAGACAATTAAATGTCTATACATATTAAACAATAATTAACTTCAAGAGAACTAGGCCCACATTTGAACTTCATGGGCAAGTAAGGCAAGGTGAGCTTCTACAGAAGAACTAACACACACAGGGTGAGCAATTATCAGTTCTAAACACTGGAGAATTACTAAAAGTTAAGCATTATATATGTAATGTTGCATTGCATTTACATTAATTGTTTGAGGCTTGGTGTGAAATTGTGAAACTGGCTTACCATTGTTTCAGACCATAAATTGGTCTTGGTGACTTGGTGACTTGGTGACTTGGACATGTGCCTTCTGGCTCCCACATGGCTTGAAAAACTGACTCCAGAGCATTTACCTCCCCTTGTTATATATTTAGAAGGGCAGTGGCTTAAGACCAGTAAATACAAATTTTAGAACTTAAAACGGAATGGGAATATTACAAATTGCCAAAAAAAACGGAAAATGAATATACCCTTTTAGAAGTTAAATGAAAACGATGAAATTTTGACCACTACAACAACTAAAGAATCCTTTTCGGCTAAGAAGAGGGTCACATGAACATCTGAACGCTTTTGAACTGTATGCAAAATCCGAAAAAAAGTAAAAAAATGTAAAATGTGGCCGATTGATTTGATTGAGTGAGTGAGTGAGTGAGTTAGTAAGTATGTTTTACGCCGCTTTTAGCAATATTCCAGCAATATCAAGACAGGGGACGTCAGAAAAAAGGCTTCACACATTGTACCCGTGTCGGGAATCAAACCCGGGTCTTCGGCGTGACGAGAGAACGATGTAACCACTAGGCTACCAGACCGCCCCTGTGATTGATCAGAGGCTTGAGAGAGTGTTTTGGGCCTAGTAGAGGGCAGTGATTTGAGGCTGCTACACCGGGATATGTTTTGTATTTGCATTTATATTCGTTTTGACTGGTTGAAGATTTTTTCTGATGAGGATTCCCATAATAATATAATACAAACAGAGGTTCAATTTCAACAAACTTGTTAGCGGGGTAACCCAGTCGTTCTGAGTTGCCGAAATTCTTTGTGCAGACTTTCTTCCGTCCTTTAGGCTTTCCAGAAACCTATGATCTTGGGTTTGAGTCCCGATGCGCCCTAATTATGTTTCTTGGTTTGGCAGGATCCTATAAGTTGAGAACATCTAAGATCCGCATCACTTTCCTCACAACAAGCTGACACGCCGTGATTTAACTGGAATACTGTTCCTACTTGTGGTTGCCTTTGGGTCTGGTGATACCATGAAATATCTGCCATGGTCGCTGTACAACTTTCCACGAAATACCCGAGAAAACATCGTGAAATATAAGCGCAATAAATTCATAATCATAAATTGATAGTGGCTATAAGTAAACTACCGTCCAAAAGAAACTTGGCAGCCTATTTGAAGTTCGATAGCGAAACAACACCAAAACATAAACGAACAGAATAAACTGTATTGTAAAAATGAATATTTACCACAACCTTAGGCAGAAAGTCATAACAATAACATGACAAGCGAATTAAATATGGCTGGTAATGTTCAGGTGGGGTATGCTCAACAGTTTTTCATTACACGTGCAAATGACTAGCTCGGCACAAAATGACTATAGATGGTGTTTGTGTCACCCTAGTAGCGTGTGTGACCTCCATTGGCTTAAATGCAGGCAAACACTCTCCTACGAACTGAATTTGTCAGTCGCCTGATGACGTCACGTGGGATGCGTCGCCATTCTTCGTGGAGGGCCTGGATGAGTTCATTCCTGGTGGTTGGAGGTTGTTGTCGTCGTCGATTTTGCCTGTCCATGAAATCCCAAAGGGGCTCTATGGGATTAAGGTCTGGTGAACGAGCTGGCCAGGGCAACACATGGAAATTGTTCACATTAAGAAAGTTTTGCACAATGTTAGCAGTATGTGGCCTAGCATTGTCATGCTGGAACACAATACCCTGTGGTTGTTGACGAAGAAATGGAAGCACAACAACGCGTAAAACCTCATCCCTGTACCGTACGGCATTCAAGTTACCGTTAATGATGACCAATGGCGTCCTCTCATCAGCACAAATGCCACCCCACACCATGACACTCATACCACCGAAGGGTACGACCTCTTCGACACAACAACGAGCAGTACGTTCGCTTCTTCGACGATACACACGGTGTCTGCCATCAGAATAGAACATACAGAACCTACTCTCGTCAGTGAAGAGGACACGTTGCCAATCACGTCGTTGCCAACGCCTAACTGTTCGCGCCCATCTCAGTCTTCGACGACGGTGTTCATTCGTCAAAAGTTGCCCTCTGTAAGGTCTATAGGTTCTGATCCCTGCTGCCCTTAGTCTTCTGGCTATTGTCTGCCTGCTGACCACACGACCCAACGCATTCGCTGCCGATGACGTCACATGTAGGAATCGATTACGCAGGTGCAATTTGCGCAGGTAGAGATCTTCATGGGTCGTGGTCACCCTTGGTCTGCCTGTTCTTGGCCTGTCTGATGTGCGACCTGTTACTCTCAATCGCTGGACCAAGTTGACAACGGTATTACGGGAGCAGTTGAATGTTCTTGCAACATGCGACTGTGTTGCCCCCATTTGCAGCATTCCTATAGCCCTCTCGCGCTGTTCTTGTGTTATCCTGGGCATTCCTTTGGTGTTTTTTCTTCATACTGCATCTCTAAGAGATAAACTTCGCAGTTTTTCAAGCGATTGGTCACGTGCAATTTTAAAAAAACGCGAATATTGATTTTACTTCCAAAATCATTTTCCCACAACAACACGTGCACTACACTTCAGTAATTGCACGAGTTTTTATTCGATGGGTTTAGGCGACTGGTTTTGGCTTGGTTGCGTTTGGGTGAAAGTATCTGTGTTTCAATAATTTCATTTTTCAAGTTGCCAAGTTTCTTTTGGACGTCAGTTTATATATGGCTATAGTATTATAATATCTGTAGTATATTTTGCACATTAATATTCTATTTTTTATGCTGCGCACTTAATCTTACCTGTTGCATGTTGTAGAAAAAATACCATTGATTATGTTCTGTTCAAGTGTATGTTAGAGACATAATTTAATGACATTCCCACTATTGTGGTATGTTATTGATATACATCGTATGGAAGGCAACAGATGCAACCTCCACGGGAAGTGCATTATGGGTAAATTCATTCCCTCGTACTCGAGAGAGTCAGCTTGCATCAGTCTGAGCGCGCACGGCTCAACAGTTCGTATCTACCTATCTTCATCTATCTAGTTATAGTGACGATTATCTGGTAAGTTGATTAAAATCACTTTACATGCCGATAATACATATATAGTGTAAAGGTAATACTTTGGTTATCAGTAACCTGTTTTGGAACTCCGTTTTACAAAAGTCAAAGAAATATATTTTGTTATTTATTTTTCCATACACAGTTATATATTAGTACAGGATTTATTCTAGTGTATATTTATGATGAAATATTTGAATATACTGTATAGTATCCGATTAAGTAGTATCGATCTATTTTCATGAGTTTTCATATATACCAGGGACCGGGCAAATTCATTGCAAAACTAGGAGGAGGATTTTGATTTTTTCAGTTGTGAATTTCAACCACCATGTTGGTTATGTCCGGTATATGACGTCTACATTTCTCAAACGTAAAGGTACCCACCATGTTATAATGACATGTTGTTATAATTAAATGCCGGTCGATTAAGTCCCGCTTTAAGGACGAATTCTAACCCTGAATCCCCACGGCATTGCAAATGTAGTTTAAATTACTTGATATATGCACATATGAACTTAGGGGCAAACCAAGCTTTTCCTCTCAGTTGATTTCAACATGAATGTATGTTTGATTTTCAATTAGGAGATAAACCCACTGTGTTTTGAATTTGATATAGTCCCACTGGTGAGTAGATACCTCTTATTTTAATATGGAACCGAGGGCTTTAGAACAGTAGGTTTATCTCCATTCTACAATGAAGACAAGTGACGAAAACTGTGCTCCCTTTTGCAACGCTTAAATACACAGTTCATAAAGGTCGGCTGGCTTTGAACATTTCGAAAAGGGTCAGAGGTAGTTATAAGTGTAACAAATATTACTAAAGTTCACCATTAATATACCAATAGTCTTGAGTTGTTTAAAATACGGGTTAAAAACTCATAGTTTTCAAAAGGGAAGTTGACAAATAGAGTTATAATAAGATATATCTGTTAATTTCTTTGTAACCAGTTGGACTGAAGTCATTTCTTGGAAATCGAATGTGTATCTTTCATTGTAGAGGTGACAGATTGTAGAAATAGATCAAATACGTGAACTAACTTATTTTTCAATTTATTAACATTCTGCTTTTTATATTAAATGTGTAAATCTTATTATGAGTTAGTAATTTCGCCCAGCAAATAATACAAATTCAAAATAAACGCTAGCCAGCCAAAGTTGGTAAAATTGCCAACATTCATAGGTACATTTACCAAAAGTATGCTGCAAAAACATCACCATTTCCACCTCAAAAATTAATACAAACTAATTTTTTTGCACATTTTGATCTCTTGTATTTAGCCATTTCACGTCTGGTTTAATGTGTCATTTGCTTGCCGTCATAATACCACAAGAACGTGATAAGTTAGAAATATTTATTTCAAATTTCGTTTTATTGTAGGCTTCATATTTTGCATGTCTGAGTCGCATGTCAAATAAAGATTTTATGTTACGGCTACAGTACGGTATAAAGCTTTTCCATTGAATGAGTGGTCGGTCACATGACCGCGAAACTGACGTTCTTCATTGAACCAAATTATTTTCTACCACACAGAATTACCCAGCCACACCTTATTTTTAAAAACTGTAGCCGCAATAAGTGATGCTTAAATAATCAAATTTAACTACAGTTCTTTCAATTAAATAAGTAACACACTTGGAGTACTTTCGTATGCCCCTTTTCTATGACTATATTGTTTTATAAGGGACACTATTGCCGACTGATTATTCTAATAGCTGCAGAAACATTTAAGGAAAAACGCATCTTGACTCAATAAATAATATTGTCGATAAAAATATAAGGAGAACTATGCTGGTGAACATAAGATAAAAATTTCAAAAAAGGGACTCTACCATCATTTGATTCACACCTCAAAATCATATTTCCTTTTTTTTTTAATCTTCTTAATACTCTGGTATTGCCTTCGTGGTGTATTAGACAGAGCCTCTGTCCCTAGCTTACACAAAACAAAGTGGTTTCCCATAGACTTCTATAGTAACGTTACAATTTTTTAATAATTAAGCATTCAACAGCTATTACCTGTACGTGTGTGCACAGTTTGGTCTTAGAGCAGCAATAAAAACAAAACAAATGACTTAGCCAGCTCCTTTTCCGAGTACAGGAAGCTGAACACACCACCCCCAGAAGCAATTTTGAACATATTTGTTCATTATACTTATACACAATAAACAACCGTAAAAGCTATCTAAAGGTTCTACATCTGTGTGCTATATTGACGCAACGAAAGCTTTCGATCGAATAAGCCTGACTGTCTCTGGTAGATACTGCAAATTTAAATGGTAATTTGTTCATTGTTGTTTAGTCGTTGTAGGAATACAATCGGTCACGAGTTTCTGTAAACAAGTCCAGTTGAAAGATACAGTGAGGTGGATGTAGGGATATGTTGGGTTGTGTATGTATGTGAGTAGGCAGTGTATGGGTACACGAGTGTAGCCGGAGATATTGTGAGATGGATGTAGGGATATGGTGGGTTGCGTGTGTATGTGAGTAGGTTTAGTATACGGGGGAGGGGGGGGGGCGAGGAGGGGGGGGTGCAGATATAGTGAGATGGATGTAGGGATGTGGTGGGTTGTGTGTGGGTATGTGAGTAGGTTTAGTATACACGGGTGGGTGGGTGTAGAAAGAGTGAGATGGATGTAGGGATATGGTGGGTTGTGTATGTATGTCAGTAGGTGTAGGATACACGGGTGGGTGTCGATATAGTGAGATGGTTGTAGGGATATGGTGGGTTGTGCATGTATGTGAGTAGGTTTAGTATACACGAGTGGGTGGGTGGGTGGGTGTAGAAAGAGTGAGATGGTTGTAGAGATATGGTTGGTTGTGTATGTATGTGAGTAGGTGTAGGATACCCGGGGGTGGGTGTAGATATAGTGAGATGGATGTAGAGATATGGTTGGTTGTGTATGTATGTGAGTAGGTGTAGGATACCCGGGGGTGGGTGTAGATATAGTGAGATGGATGTAGAGATATGGTTGGTTGTGTATGTATTTCAGTAGGTGTAGGATACACGGGGGTGGGTGTAGATATAGTGAGATGGATGTAGGGATATAGTGGTTGTGTATGTATTTCAGTAGGTGTAGGATACACGGGGTGGGTGTAGATATAGTGAGATGGATGTAGGGATATAGTGGTTGTGTATGTATTTCAGTAGGTGTAGGATACACGGGGGTGGTTTAGATATAGTGAGATGGATGTAGGGATATAGTGGTTGTGTAGGTATGTGAGTATGTGAGGGTTGGCGTAGATATAGTGAGATTGATGTATGTGTGTGTTAGGTAAGGGGAGAGTATGCGGTACATTAGTATGGATAAATGGGAGGACGGGGCTCGGGCAAGTGCCACCAAGTACATTTACTACTACGCATAGGGCCTTTACCACCTGAAATAAAACTTTATAAAATGAAAAGTGTCTCACTATCGTTGACAGTGAGATAAACAAACACATGTTCTTGAAAGTAAGATGTAAGCAGTTTTCTTTGTAAACCATTGTGTTTAGAGAGGAGAGGTGGAGTATTGGGGGCAGAGTTGTATGTTACTTAAAATAACATTTTTGAGGAACCAACTATTGTTTAATGACTCCACGTAAATAGTACTACAACCGATAGATAGGACTATTCCAACCTAAAATATGTTTTTGTTATTGAATGAAAAGTGTCTCACTATTGTTGACAGTTAGATAAATAAACACGCGTTCTTGAAAGTAAGATGTAAGCAGTGTTAATGTTTTTGTAAAACCATTATGTTTTCAGAGGAGAGGCTGAGTATTGGGTCAGAGTTGTATGTTACTTAAAATAACATTGGTAAGCACACAACTTCTGGTCAATGACGCCATGATAACATATATGCTGTGATAGTGTTACTATTGGAGGTGATTTACTGAATATAAATGTATAGGGAAGTTCTTGATCCCTTGATGGTAGATATATTAATTGTTTATGAAGAATAATCGCTCATAAAGTTGTATTAAACTGTTTTTTCATTCATTTTTATGTTTTGAACATATTTATTCATAATGGTAGAGGAGTTTACTTGATGGCATTTGATATTAAGTTATAACATCGGGATGTTTTCCTGAATGTCCTTGATGGTCAGGTGGTACTTGTGACAGTTGAAGTTTAACTTGAACTTTTGAACGTTCAACAGTGACTTTTATACACAATGACCCCGTTATTTACGGAAAAAAGGAATAATAAACATTTTAGTTGAATGTTGTTTTTTTATGGGTGGGAATTGTCCGGTGGTAATTGTCTGGTCTACAATTGTTTGGGTGGCAACTGTCCTGCTTCCGGGGGGACATGCGGACTTGGGTTGGTCTGAGTGGGTGCGCTTGTATTTGTTTCTACTCACGTCATATGTTTCTGAAAGATTTTAGTGTCTCATAGGCCAGGTGTTATACATATCCTCCCAAAATATCAAGTATTTATATACTGCACATTGCGTGAAACTTAAACAACATTCTTCTTCTACTTCTTCTTCTTCTTCTTCGTCTTCTTCTTCTTCTCTTCTGCTGCCGCTGTAATGCATCATCTAATTTGATGAACACTTAAATATTTACTCTTTGCTTTGGCGACAAACCCCCTCATTATCCTTATCACCTACGAGACTGATTTTGACAAATATTCGCAGTACGGCCATGCAGGGGATCAGTGAAGATTCAGTTGGCCACCGTCCTGCGAATGAACCAAGTAAACCAAGGTGTCTGCTCGCTGAATCTGCTAGTACAAACCGCCACACGCAATATGAGTGAATTAATCTTAAACGCGACGTTTTACACTTATTCTCCTCGCCTCTAATTACTATTGATTTACTTGCACATGTCGCTTCATGCAGCCCGAGAAACAGTACTTCATACTGTGTTTCGGACAATATTTAACAGCAGCATATCGCCGCGACAAACGGACACAGCTATTGAAGCATTGTCTCCGCGCCGGTATAGTATTGATGAGGTATGGATTTCTTTGTGAAATTGGTAACGTATTATTAGCTACTAGCTGTAAAATTTGGACATAAACATTCAATGTACAGCTGGGTGAGCTGTAGATTTAACCGCGAATTGAATTTGGAACGAACACTCGTTTTGTTTTCAAAACAAGATCTTTTTAACCAACATGTCACTGAGCAATTTTTCTTGGGGTAAAACCTTAGCACGGTTTATTTTCTTCCCTATTTATCTGAAACAAATCCAAGTTTTGTGTGTAAGTGGCGGGTTTTACCGGTAGAACAGGAAACCTGTCGTTGTTTTGACTTTTTGCGCCTAATAGAAACCGTTTCGGCAGACGGTCGAGACAGGTCGTTCTCTGGCGTTCCTTGACATCTTACAATCTTATCGTATGGAAGCATGTAGTCAGGATTATCAACATTCTGCGGTAAAATTACCAAAATTCTGAGATAAAATTACGAAAAGTACGCTGTACAACATTACCATTCCCACATAAAAAAATAATACAAACTCAGTTTTGTCTTTTGCACATTTTAATCTCCTGTATTTAGATATTTCAGGTCTGATTTGACGTGGCAACTTTATGTCGTCATAATTCCACAAGAACGTATAAAAGTGAGAAATATTTATTTCAAATTTCGTTTGTTTTTTGGTAGGATTCATATTTTACATGTCTGAGTCGCATGTTTTAATTCTTTTTTTAATGTTAAGCACGGCTAAAGTACGATCTAAAGCTTTTCCATTGAATGAGAGCTAGGTCGGTCACATGACCGCCAAACTGACGTTCATGTTGACGTTCATTCATTTTTCACGGGACTCTTCTTGTAATAACGACACCACTGACAAACTACTTCTCCATCACGGATCAATATAGAAGCGCTGTTTCTGATCATTTAGAGCCTTTAACCTTGAAGTTCGGGTTTTTCATACGTTGGGAAAAGTCAGAGAGTTTCACTGAATGCTCATTCCAGAATACCCTCGCTACGAGCCATCCTTGTGAACAAACGAAGAAATGCACATCCAAACTATGGACTCGATCCATGTCTAGACTGACAAGTGACAGTCTGCAGCAATCTATAACTTTACATTAGTATCTTTTTGACTCCTCTCTATAATTACCTTTCTGATCAATGCTGATTAACTCATGTGATCGCCACAGGTTCATGAACCATTTCGGGAATCTTTCCCGGCCATTTTGACGTTCCGTATTTGGTGCAGTGAGTGAGTATAGTTTACGCCGCTTTTAACATATTCCAGCAATATCACGGCGGGGGACACCAGAAATGGGCTCCACATATTGTACCCATGTCGGGAATCGAACCCGGATCTTCGGCGTGACGAGCGAACGCTTTAACCACGAGGCTACCCGATCGCCCACGTCTTTGGTGTAAATGAATTACGACGTGATGTCACTGTGACTGACTTACTGACGTTTCTACTTTACATTTGGTTGTCGTCGTGCGACATATTTAATCATTTAGATTTAGTTTACATTGATTTTTTTAAGTTATCAAAATAGTTGACGACTTTTTAGAAAACGGGTTTTATTAAAACCTTCATCTGTGGAAATACAAAAACCTCAGTCCATTTCATCATATATTTGTTCAAATGATGATTTACAGGCAACAAAATAATTGGGGGAAAACAATACTTGACCTTAAAATATGTGGATACGTTATAACTGTTGTGCAGTCACAGACGTCTTGGAGGCAACGAAATGTCTATCTGAAATAGTTTCAGCTCCGTATTTGGAAATATCGTACAGTGATGTCCATAAGTATAAATACGGATACCTGAATTAGTTTAAGTCTTCCTCCAGACATGAATGCAAGCACCTTTGCTGTCACTTGGCCATTACTTCGATATTTTATTTCAATTACATTAGTGAGTGAGTTAGTGAGTGTGGCTTTATGCCGCTTTTAGCAACATTCCAGCAATATCACGGCGGGGGACACCAGAAAGGGGCTTCACGAAAAGTACCCATGTCGGGAATCGAAGCCGGGTCTTCAGCGTGACGAGCGAACGTTTTAACCACTAGGCTACCCGACCGACCTCAATTACTTTAGTATTTTATCAGTATGTTAGAGGGATAAAGAAGGCGGGGGTATAACCATACTTTTCTACCTCCATTTTCGTCGTGGACCGCTGAGACGTTACGAACTTGTTGATGAATTGGCCGATGCAGCGGGGAAAGTATGGTAACGACTTACTTATACCCGGATTTAACACACACACAGATATAGCATTCCTCACTTTCAAATATTTCTTCCATCACTCATCCCCGGTGAATGAGTTGGAATGCCTGTGGCTTGCAATTGACAAATAAACTGACCGACGTTCGTATCCTAAGCGAATAAAATAATACCATCTGGACACTGCCTTTTAAAGCCCCAAACTTAAACCATAACATATATACCTTAAAAACTTAATATCCCCTAATTAATTCCACACCCTTGGGTTTCATGTAAACGTCTGAGACTTCCGGCTGACACGCCGTGATATAACTAAAATACTGTTCTGAGCGACATTAACCATGTCACTCAATGTTGAATCCTCACAGAATAGTAGTCTTATTAACCGCGTCGGGACAATGCTGTATCGACTTTCCTACGCCAGGCAATGTACAATTCAAAACAGCTCTCCAAAGGTTCAGTTTAGTTTATTTGCCCTTCTTTAACCTAATCACAAGTTGATTAGAGTAGAAATTATTACATATGCAATGTTAGCTCGAAGGAGCGTCAAGGACTTTTGTGGGAAAGCATTATTCTGGCCATAAATTATCGTTCAAATGCCAGAACAACGTAAAGAAAAATACATCAACATTATACCTTGACGTCATGTTTCTTCTCTTTCCAGATTCCAAGAAATGCGGAAATGTGTCATTGTTCCATGTATTGTTCTTGCTGGCTGTCTATTTTTTCAAATACACTACCTGTTCACGCACGCCAAAGAGAGACATATTTCAAAGAACAGAAATGACGTAAAGATTCAACAGGACATGACAGCTGTCCAGACGAAACCAGTTGACTATAACAGGACGAAAAATTCTGGTGCATCTGAAACCCTGGCAGACAGTGTACAAAACGAAAAAAGAAAGGCAGACCAAACCAGAACAAGAAAAGTACAACCATTCCAATATCGATCAGTTATCAAAGAATATACATCATTAATAAATTGGTCATATTTTACCAAAGAGAGAAATAAGGTATTGACTAAATATTCATTTGATTCATTTGACATACTACCTGAATCCACGAAAACAGATGACCAACCGTACCTTATAATCATGGTTTTATCAGTTGCACACCATTCGAGAACCGCAATAAGGAAGACATATGGTAGTGTTAGCCGTGGTCTAATGTGGCCCGGTAGTAACCTTCCTCTGAATACAAAGGTGATATTTCTTTTGGGACGAACATCAGATATTCGTCACCAGGTTAATCTTCATGCAGAAAGCAACATCCACGGAGACATATTGCAAGGGAATTTCATCGACTCTTATGAAAACCTAACGTTGAAAGTTTTAGCAGGATTGCATTACGTCGCGGAGTACCATCCAGGGACACAGTATGTTTTAAAGGCGGATGAAGACACTTTTACGGACGTTGATCTTGTTGTGAGATTGCTGAAGACACTACAACCCCTGAATTCAGTTCTAGGACATGTTTACGAGAAACCATTTGTTGACAGGAATGGCAAATGGAGTATAAGTGAATCCGTCTACCCTTTCCCACTATTTCCTAACTATGTATCGGGCAATACCTACGTGCTGTCAATGGATTATGGAAAATGTATTCTTGAAAACGCCAAGTACTATCAATACATATTCATAGAGGATGTCTTCATCACTGGGATGATGTCCTTTGTCTGCAATGCCACGTTGTACCATGTGTCTGGGTTTACGTTTTGGGCAGAAAGTCGCCCTGTGCCTAAAACCTTTTTAGGTGGAGCAAAGATATCCGGCACACGTGTAACGGACACACTGAAGTACGGCATATGGACATATTTGAATAACTGGTATCACACGGGGCTTTAGGAGTACATATGGAATGGTGCTGCGTGTATACGTCTCGTATGAGTGAGTGAGTGAGTTTGGTTTAACGCCGCTTTTAACAGTATTCCAGTTATACCACGGCGTGTCAGCTTAATGTGGGAGGAAAGCCCGAAGTGATGCAGGTCTCAGACGTTTACCACTTCGGTGAAACCCACGAGCACGGGTATGGTGCTGACAAACCTAGAAACATAATCGGGGCGAACCGGGATTCGAACCCACAATCATAGGTTTCTGGCGTGCCTAAGGGACGCAACTCTGCACAGCAAATCGCGGCGCCTTAGACGACTGGGCCATCCGTGCCCCCACGTCTCGTATGAACGCAAGTATACAATTAATATATTATATAAGATTAAATGCCATGTCACATTTGTTTCTTAAATGATACTATACAAACTATAAAGGTGACGAAGGGGAGATTTCAAAAGAACATGTTCGTTGTGGAAAGATTTTTCTGTGCAGAGCAGAGTACATTCTTGACCGAGATATGGCTGTACAGAGATAAGCAAGTGAGCATACACCGACTTTACTACCTGATGAGATTGAACACGTTCATGGATATAAGTATACTATAATTGCTGTCGGAATTTGTTGTGTGTATTTTTTCCGAATAAAAAGACAAAAATGTTTTACATTCAGTTGTTTCACGTCATGGTTAAGAATTTATCCCGTGAAAATTTGGTTTATTTAAACGTCTCTACGTTTGTGAGTTTATCCCTCTAGGGATGTGGTGGGTTGTGTCGGTATGTGAGTAGGTGAAGGATACACGAGGATAGTGTAGATACAGCGCGATTGGCGTAGGGATGTGGTGGGTTGTGTTGATATGTGAGTGGTGTAGGATATACGAGGATAGCCGTAGATAAAGTGTGAAGACTGTTGGTTGTGGTAGGTTGTGTTGATATGAGAGTAGGTGTAGGATACACGAGGATAGGCGTAGATATAGTGTGATGACTGTTGGATGTGGTGGGTTGTGTTGGTATGGTAGAAGGTGTAGGATACACGAGGATAGGCGTAGATATAGTGTGATGACTGTTGGGATGTGATGGGTTGTGTTGGTATGTGAGTAGGTGTAGGATACACGAGGATAGGCGTAGATATAGTGTGATGACTGTTGGTTGTAGTGGGTTGTGTTGGTATGTGAGTTGGTGTACGATACACGAGGATAGGCGTAGATATAGTGTGAAGACTGTTGGATGTGGTGGGTTGTGTTGGTATGTGAGTAGGTGTAGGATACACGAGGATAGGCGTAGATATAGTGTGATGACTGTTGGTTGTAGTGGGTTGTGTTGGTATGTGAGTTGGTGTACGATACACGAGGATAGGCGTAGATATAGTGTGAAGACTGTTGGATGTGGTGGGTTGTCTTGGTATGTGAGTAGGTGTAGGATACACGAGGATAGGCGTAGATATAGTGTGGAGACTGTTGGATGTGGTGGGTTGTGTTGGTATGTGAGTAGGTATAGGATACACGAGGATAGGCGTAGATATAGTGTGAAGACTGTTGGATGTGGTGGGTTGTCTTGGTATGTGAGTAGGTGTAGGATACACGAGGATAGGCGTAGATATAGTGTGGAGACTGTTGGATGTGGTGGGTTGTGTTGGTATGTTAGAAGGTGTAGGATACACGAGGATAGGCGTAGATATAGTGTGATGACTGTTGGGATGTGGTGGGTTGTGGTGGTATGTGAGTAGGTGAGTAGTTGTAGGATACACGAGGATAGGCGTAGATATAGTGTGATGACTGTTGGGATGTGGTGGGTTGTGGTGGTATGTGAGTAGGTGAGTAGTTGTAGGATACACGAGGATAGGCGTAGATATAGTGTGATGACTGTTGGATGTGGTGGGTTGTGTTGGTATGTTAGAAGGTGTAGGACACACGAGGATAGGCGTAGATATAGTGTGATGACTGTTGGGATGTGGTGGTATGTGAGTAGGTGAGTAGTTGTAGGATACACGAGGATAGGCGTAGATATAGTGTGATGACTGTTGGATGTGGTGGGTTGTGTTGGTATGTTAGAAGGTGTAGGACACACGAGGATAGGCGTAGATATAGTGTGAAGACTTGGATGTGGTGGGTTGTGTTGGTATGTGAGTAGGCGTAGGATACACAAGCATAGGCGTAGCTATAGTGTGATTGATGTTTATGTATCATAGGTAGGGGGAGGGGGATGCATGTATGCGGTACATGAGTATGGATACATGGGAGGACGGGACCAGGACAATTGCCACCCAGACTATTCCCTACGGTCAATTACCACCCGACAAATTGCCACCTGGGACAACTGCCACCAAGTAAATGGTACTACAACCGATAGATAGGACTATTTCAACCTAAAATATGTTTTTGTTATTAAATGAAAAGTGTCTCACTATTGCTGACAGTTAGATAAATAAACACGCGTTCTTGAAAGTAAGAAGTAAGCAGTGTTAATGTTTTTTTGTAAAACCATTATGTTTTCAGAGGAGAGGCTGAGTATTGGGTCAGAGTTGTATGTAACTTAAAATAACATATGATTGGTAAGCACACAACTCCCGCTCAATGACTCCATGATGACATATATTCCCTGTGAGTGATAGTGTTACTGTAAGAGGTGATTTACTGAATATAAATATATAGGGAAGTTCTTGATACCTTGATGGTAGATATATTATTGTTTATGAAGAATAATCGTTAATAAAGTTGTATTAAACTGTGTTTGATTCATTTTTATGTTTTGAACATATTTATTCATAATCGTAGTAGGTGTTCCTTGATGGCATTTGATATTAAATTATAACATCTGGATGGTTTCCTGTATGTCCAAAGGAGGGTACAAGCCCTGAATAATCAGGTTGTACTTGTGACCGTTTAAGTTTTACTTGAACTTTTGAACAAAGACTTTTATCCACAATGTATCCCGTTATTTACTGATTAAAGTAATCATAAACATGATAATGAATTTTTTTAAATGGGTGGGAATAGTCTGGTGGTAATTGTCCTGGGTCCGGGAGGACATGCAGACTTGGGGTCGTGTGAGTGGGTGCGCTTATAGTTTATTCTATACACGTCACATATTTCTGAAAGACTTTAGTGTCTCATAGGCGAGGTGTTATATCCTCCCAAAATATCTAGTATTTATATACTGTATAATGCGTAACACAAAATTCTTCTTATTCTTCTACTGCTGCTGCTGCCGCTGCCATACATCATCTAATGTGATGAACACTTACATATTTACTCTTTGCTTTGGCGACATACCCCCTCTTTATCCTGATCAATCAAGACACCTACGAGACTGATTTTGACAAATATTCGCACTACGGCCCAGCAGGGGATCAGTGAAGATTCAGTTGGCCACCGTCCTGCGAATGAACCAAGTAAACCAAGAGGTCTGCTCGCTGAATTTGCTAGTACAAACCGCCACACACACTTGCATCTTAAACGCGACGTTTTACACCTTTTCTACTCACCTCTAAATACTATTGATTTACTTGCACATGTCGCCCGTGAATAGGTAGTTCAAAGACCACTGTGTCACGGACAATATTTAGCAGCAGCATATCGCCACGACAAACGTAGACAGCTATTGATGCATTGTCTCCGCGCCGATGTGGTATTGATGAGGTATGGATTTCTTTGTTAAAATTGGTAAAGTATTATTTGCTGTAAAATTTGGATATAAACATTCTGTGTTTTCAAGGTACAGCTAGATGAGCTGTAGATTTAACCGCGCTAAATTGAATTTGAAACCTAACACTCGTTTTGTTTTTTTTAAAACAGGACCTTTTTTATCCAACACGTCAATTCTTCTTTGGGTAAAACCTCAGCACGGGTTTTTTTCTTCCCTATTTATCTGAAACAAATCCAAGTTTTTATGTAAGTGGCGGGATTTACCGGTAGAACAGGATACCTGTCATGTAGTTTTGTCTTTTTGCGCCCAAGGGAATCAGTTTCGGAAGATGGTTGTTCTCTGACATTCCTTGAAACAATTTCAATCTTATCGTATAGAAACATATAGTCAGGAGTATCAAAATTCTGCGGTAAAATTACGAAATTTCTGAGGTGAAATTCAAAATGTTTGCTGTAAAACATTACCATTTCCACCTCAAATACAGCTGACATGCCGTGATATAACTGAATTTCTCTTAAACTCGGCATTAAATCATATCCTTCAATGTTGAATACTCAAGGGTTAGAAGTATTATTGACCACATCGGGTCAATGCTGTATCGGCTATCCCACGTCAGGCAATGTTCAATTCCAAACAGTTCTTAGAAGGTTTAGTTTATTCGCCCTTCTTTAACCTAATCACAAGTTGATTAGAGTGAAGTTATTACAGAATTATGCAATGTTAGCTCGAAGGAGCGTCACGGACTTTTGTGGGAATGCATCATTCTTGCCATAAATGTATCTTTCAAATGCCAGAATAACGTACAGAGAATACATCAACATTATACTTTGATATCATGCGTCTTTTCTTTCCAGATTCCAAGAAATGCGGAAATGTGTCATTGTTCCATCTATTGTACTAGCTGGCTTTTCATAACACTACCTGTGCAATTGCAAAAGGGCCATTGAGCTGCACGATAACGAAAAAGCATTTTATCGGGTATGGCTTGATGGATTATTTATTAAACTGTATGATATAGGAATAACGGGTAAACTATGGAGAATATTAAGGCTCTCCTACAGCTCTATGAAATCATTTGTATGTTTTGAAGGATTTAAGTCGGATGCCTTTCCCGCGAATCAAGGAGTAGGTCAAGGTAGAGTAATGCCGCTGGCTTTTCACACTATTTATTAATGACCTCCTATATGAACTTGAAAACTCAGATTCTGGCTTAATTCTCCCATGGGGTAAATGCCCTGGGATCCTTCTTGCTGACGACACTACTTTATTGAGTATCTCAAATAAAGGCCTGCAAAATCTTCTTGATGTCGTTCAAAACTATGCTCATATGTGGCAGCTAAAATATAATGTAAGCAAGAGTGCAGTTCTATACTTTGGATGCCCAAACAATAAGGTTCAAACCACTAATGTATCAATTGGCGATATGCATGTTCCACAAATGAAATCTATTAAATATGCAGGTGTATATCTTAGTACAGATAAATCATCACTTGAACGTACAAAATCTGCATGTGAAAAGTTACGTGTACTCATCAACAGTAACCATAATAATGGGTTGTACTTTGGTGGTCTGAATCCTTTATCTGCAGCATGTATCTGGGAGAGGGTAATCTTATCATGTGGCCTCTATGGATGCAGCGTATGGGGTAAACTTCCTCTTAAAGAGTATGAAATGCTTGAAGTTGTACAACGTCAATTTTGTAAAAAAGTTCAGGGACTACACAGGCGCACTCCCAGTATTGTTGTATTGGATGCTATCGGCATCATGCCACTACAGTATTACATAGATAAAAGAGCACTCTACTTCTTAGGAAAGCTATGCAATGCAAAGTGTAACTGTGTTTTTAAAGTTATGTTTCTAGTTCGCCTGGGTCAATTTATGTGTACAGATAGTTTTACATGCAATGTATGGAGTAGAAAATCTCCGATATATAATATGCTACAACTTGTACAGAAGTATAACCTAAGTAATACACTTGTTAACTATGTCAATAATTGTCAATTTATTAAAAAGAAATGCTGGTCCAAGGCCGTAAATGATGCTATTAAATCTCATCGAGATGATGTATTTTATGTCCATCTTAATTCAAGACTCAGTCTGTCAAGATATGTTAGAATAAGATCAAGTACTGAAGACTATCTCTGGAAACTAGCCCTGGAGAAGTATGACCATTTAACTAATATTGCAAGGCTTGTATTCTATGGATCAGCTGAAATTGTCTCTAGAGAATGCTATTGTAAAACTGTTGCCAGTGATATTGTAAAGCACGACGTGTTTATGTCCTGCACGATCAATATGAATGACCGAAATTTACTTTTTAACACCAAATGTGATATCATGGATGTAAATGTTTTTGTTAATATTTGGGAGAAAGATTATGATATTATTCTTGCGTTCTTACTTGGGGGGTGTCGAACAGAATGTATTATGGAGCTAGAAAGAGATGTGTGGGCAGAAGTAATAATTAATGTAAGCCGCTTTATAAGGAAATGGCAACACCTGCTAGAAAACTTGTATGTTTATGCACATGTGTAAATATAACTTAATCATACCTGCATATTGTAATCTTCATTCAATTGGAGGAAACAAAGAATATCTATCTATCTCTATCTATAGTCAGGAGTATCAAAATTCTGCGGAAAAAAATTACAAAATTTCTTAGGTGAAATTCAAAATGTTTGCTGTAAAACATTACCATTTCCACCTCAAATACAGCTGACATGCCGTGATATAACTGAAATTCTCTTAAACTCGGCATTAAATCATATCCTTCAATGTTGAATACTCAAGGGTTAGAAGTATTATTGACCACATCGGGTCAATGCTGTATCGGCTATCCCACGTCAGGCAATGTTCAATTCCAAACAGTTCTTAGAAGGTTTAGTTTATTCGCCCTTCTTTAACCTAATCACACGTTGATTAGAGTAGAAGTTATTACAGAATTATGCAATGTTAGCTCGAAGGAGCGTCACGGACTTTTGTGGGAATGCATCATTCTTGCCATAAATGTATCTTTCAAATGCCAGAATAACGTACAGAGAATACATCAACATTATACTTTGATATCATGCGTCTTTTCTTTCCAGATTCCAAGAAATGCGGAAATGTGTCATTGTTCCATCTATTGTACTTGCTGGCTTTTCATAACACTACCTGTGCATTTGCAAAAGGGCCATTGAGCTGCACGTACTGCCCGTGCAGCAGTACTATGAACGGTATTAAAGAGCAGGGCTTTTGATTGATTGACAACATGCCAAGATTAAGAATAGGGCAAAGAAACAACGTTATAGGCCGCTTGCAGGCAGGGGAATCCCGATGCTGTAGCCAGGGTTTTCACTGTAGCGCCCAGCACCATCACAAGGCTATGGGGTCTGTTTCAACAGCATTGGTCAACACGCGATCGGCCATGGTCGGGACGACCAAGAGTATCCACCCCGCCCACGATCGCTACATCCGACTGTGCCACCTACGTGAAAGGACGACAACAGCCACCTCAACCGCATCTTAAATACCCAGACTGTGTAGAATCTCCGACCAGACCGTACGAAACCGTTTAAGAGCCGCAGGTCTACGAGCAAAACCCCCTGTTCGACGCGACATATTGAGTCGACAACACCGTCAACAGCGCCTGCATTGGTGTCGTCAACACAGGGTATGGCCTCAACTGCGATGGATAGATGTCTGGTTCAGGGACGAATCAAGATTTCTCCTTCGTCGACGTCCTCCCAAAGGCAGCCAACGGCAACGGTGTATTCCAGCGGGACAACGCTCGGCCGCATTCAGCACGGATCACAAGAGCCTGTCTACACAACAACAACGTTGGTGGTCTCCCCTGGTCCTCCAGATCCCCGGATTTGAACCCGATAGAGCACCTGTGGGATGAATTGGATAGACGTCTACGCCGTCGTCAACCACAACCCCAGACGTTGCAGAAGTTGGCTTTTGCGTTGCAGGCCGAGTGGGCAACCATTCCCCAGGATGTGATTCGCATACTCGTCTCTTCCATGGGCAGGATATATCAGGCCGCTATTGATTCCAACTGGTGGGGTGGGTGGGGGGGGGTGGGGGTGGGGGGGTGGGGGGGGGTGGGGGGGGGCATATGCGTAATGATGGTAGCTGACCTTCACTTTTCCTATGTACCGATGACTACAATCACCAAGTATTCTCTCCACAACATCTTGGCTCAATACCTTGTACGGTTCCTCGTATAAATATACTTTCCTACCTCATACAAATATGGCTTTGCGTTTTTCTTTTGAGGAGTATATATTCTCGTTTCAGAAAAAATGGATCATACTTGGTTGAAGTAACAGTAATTACAATACAAGTCCATGATACAAATAAGTCTGCTCTATAGAAACAATTGATCACAAGATCCCAAAATGAACATGTGTTGCTTGCTGTGGTGCGTAGACTGTGTATACCATTGAAAACACCTTCACTGAAACTGTACTGTTTTATTCAGATGCAAGCGTGCCTTATGCTGATCCGGAAACCACATCAGGTTAGTTGCATACAACAATTTCCCTTATTATTTTGGACGTCAACTTCATTGTTTAAAAAAGGTTTATCTTCGAAAATAATTTCAATATGTACAAAAGTATCACAAGTTAATAAACATTTAATAAAATTCATTTTTCAAACTGTTCCTTGATGTATCGTGGTTTGGGCACGTGACTATATTCACGCCTGTCGCATGTGTCGCCTCACTATCTGGCGTTGTTCATAGTATCAATCAATGGGTTGCTTCACCCTGACTGGAGTATATGCTGCAGCCATGATAGTCGCTAATCGTGATGGACGACATTGTGTTGGCTGTCACCACCAGACGAAGATATGCAAACTGGTAACCATGAGGGTAGCTGAAATACAGGATGTGAAACGTGTTTTTTTCTCTTTTCCAGTGAATGGTTTTCATGTTTACTAGGGGGCACGGGTGGCCCAGTCGTCTAAGGCGCCGCGATTCGCTGTGCAGAATTGTGTCACTTGGGCACGCCAGAAACCTATGATTGTGGGTTCGAATCCCGGTTCGCCCCGATTATGTTTCTAGGTTTGTCAGCACCATACCCGTGCTCGTGGGTTTCACCGAAGTGGTAAACGTCTGAGAGCTGCATCACTTCGGGCTTTCCTCCCACATTAAGCTGACACGCCGCGATATAACTGGAATAATGTTAAAAGCGGCATTAAACCCAACTCACTCACTCACTCATGTTTACTAAAACCTTCTAGCTCCTAATATCAGCGTTGTCTGTATAGGGTCAGGGGAGCTTAAAATGTAGATTGACGACGATTATCATCATCATTTGTGTTATTATTAAGGGTTTTATGTATTAGTAGTATTAGTAGTAAGTAGTAGTAATAATAGTAGAAGTAGTAGTAGTAGTAGTAGTAGTAGTAGTAGTAGTAGTAGTAGTAGTAGTAGTAGTGGTAGTAGTTACATAGTGAAATATAAAAAAGCAGCAAAGAGGGTTTGGGTGATCCTGGCACAGTCAGGCTGGTTAGGCTTATCACCAGCTCAGGGCCCTTGTCCCCTCTACACGCAGCCCAGACAGCGAATGGGACTTCTCCCAGGAAACCCACCCAGAACTTTTCGGAGAATGTGAAGACTCCTCAACACTGCAGCCTTCTGCATTACCCAGATTGTCAGAAGGGCTGTATTCCTGGTAGCAAACCCGGGTACTCTCCTGATGTCAGTCAACATATTGGGAGGTACCAAACCTAAGGCACCGAGAACAATTTGGAGTCGGACAACTTGGTACTTGGGATGCAAGAGTGACATTTCAAAAGCGAGGTCTGCATATTTGCCATGTTTTTCCTCAATCTTGTCAATCACTTTACTGTCAAAAGGGACCGAAAATTCAATGATATAAATGATTTCATTAGATTTATCAAAAAGGACAAGATAAGATTTGTTGGCTTGGATATGTCTGAGGCTGTATACGGGCCTATTCCAAAGGATTTTGTATTTATCATATTCCATGACGCCCTCTACATATTCCGGCTGGTACCATGGATGGACCTCTGTGTCAAAACCACATGCAAGGCGAAGACGATAATAAAATTATCGAGCCACCCCATCATGTCGCTTAAGATACTGTGTCTGTGCCAAAGCTGGGCATCCACTCACAATGTCTAGGACAGTCTCATTAAATTCATTACATAATCTACATTTCATATTCACATTTTAATGCAAAATTATACATTGACGGTTTCGAGTTGGAAGTGACTGGTCCTGATCATGCTCATGAGCAACAAACAGAAAGCCTTCTGTTTCACTTTTCAGGCCAGACGACTTCATCCAAGCGAAGGACTCTGCAGGATTGCTGATCTTCACAACACACTGCACATATACTCGATGCAGTGGTCGTTCAGAAAGCCTCTCCTTGAAAAACTGGGCCGATTTGATATGGCACTTCGCTTGGTTGACACTCATTTCTGTACCGTCCAGCAGTACAGAACCATCGACATAATCATCACCGACATTGAGATTATGTCCCACATCTTTGATTCGTTTTAGATAAAGCCCCTATCACATACTACCGATCGCGTTAAAGGGATACGACGGGCTCATTGCCGGATAGTACCTCGTTACATTACATCAAACCAGTCCCTGGCGAGTGCTTGACGTCCTTCCATCAGGGCCTTACACGTATCAGGACCCTTTCTTATGTACATCGATTGACGAGATACAACAGCATTGCAAATTTACTTAAGGTTTTTTGGTGTTTTTTGGTCTTTATGGTGTTGGTGTATTTTTGGTATGTTTTTTGTTGTGGTTTGTTTTATGTTGTTGTTGTTATTGTTTTTTGTTTGTTCCGTTTGTTTTTCTTAGGGGGTTGCTTTTCTTTGTGTGTTTTTTTTTGCGACAGAATATTTTCTTAGCGCTTCAAACCTCACATTTTTTGTTTGAGAGGATAAACCCTACAACGCGGGTATACCACAACACATTATGTTTTCAGAATTTCACGCCCAGCTTGTCCATTGAACGTTTATCTATTTTTGAAACACCTGAGGACAAATTATTGTGTTTATATTTTCCATACATTTTCAAAACACCTCCAGATATCCAGACATCACGACGAAAACAGGTTGGCTTTGTTACAATAATTGTTACCATGTAGTCCCTCCGGAATTTCAGCACTTCAGCATGTGTTAACTGATAGAATGAGCATGATTTTCGCCATGGTTAACAATTCTTCAGCCACATAACAATTTGTATCCATGTGGGAATCGAAAACGGATATTCGTCACGATGAGCCAAGGCTTTAACCACAAGGCTACCCCACACCTGTTCATGACGGTCGGCCGTTAATACGTCATCGCCATCTTGGTTGGTATTATTCCCTTGCCCAGTCGAACCACATTTGGCGACTTCCGAGGTGCATTATCTTTTAAAGAGAATTTCCTTTCGCCGAGTTTCATCTGTAACAAAACAGTTTAATGTTAAAATTGTTGAAAGGAAAAGTATATGAAGCATATACCGAATCAGAATAATGGATCGGGAAGGATGAACACAAGTTATATCCGAGTAAACCATGCATTCGTATGAGCAATCACATTGAAATCCGAGCATTTAATCCTATACATCTATCTGTAAAGATCTGGGGACACTCGAGTCAGATGAACTTTCTATTCATCTGATCAGCGTCGATGCTTCTATAATGTAAATTCCCGGTACCAGTGAGTGAGTTAAAATTTAACGTCGCATCGGGATTATTACAGCCATATCACGACGATCGGTAAAAGTGAACGAAGCCTTCAGACAACAATATCTGAGTTCTGGATCTCGAAAACGAATATACCAGAAGAAATTCGAATGCCAAACTCTAATGCCACGCTCTAAGAGTTGTGGGTATAAATAAATCCTTCATTTGTGAGCGTTATGGCATGCACCCTCGACACCCAAAATGGTTACTATGGACGATAAATTTGTGTTCCATTGACTTTCTTTTGCAGAGATCGAAAGTTTCGAATAAGGGCGGTAACGAAATGAAACCATATTACTTTAGAAACCCACGCATCCGCCATTTTGATTCGGCGGTCAACGGATCTGCCCTGGCATCGGAGTTACAGATGGAAGCTTATGAGGTCGGGTGGTCATGTTCGGTGACTTGGTTTATTGCGTACCAAGATGGCGTCGGGTGTTACTTATAAAATCAATCACTGGTCTTATGACTCGTAAATGACGTTTTCCAGCATTAAGCAAAGTTGTCTTTTGTCTCCGAGGGATTATATTTGGGGACGGCAGATCGCCTGGTGCGATCTCTTTGCGTATGGTGCAAAAGGGAGAATAAGATTTGCGTGAATTGTTTATTGTACATATATACAAAGTTGAAACAGATTGTCAGATTCTATATTTTTCTTCTCTGTACTAATTACGTTCCCTGTAAAGGTTCACCAAAAGGCTATCACATGCATTAATTACATTTCAAGACTGGAATGAAATTACGTCAAAATAAATATTAATATCGTCCAATTTGCGTATAAATAATGGCACAAAACATGTTTTTTTGTAATCTGAATTGTTTCTGAGAGCAAGGGTTGCTAAGCCTTCTTAAGTGAAGAAATCTTTCTTGCCCAGATATGCCTCCCTTAGGCGTGACAGAATCCTATGATCTTGAGTTCGAATCCTACATTCGTCCTGATTATGATTCCGGGTTTGTCAGTGCCATACCCATGCTCCTGGAAGTCGAAAACGGCTCAGACCTGCATCATTTCTGGATTTCATCCTACATAACATTAAACTGACAAGTCGTCATGTTACTGAAATACTGTTCCAAATGACGTTAAACGCGACCCACTCAGTCAACAGTCCTCAACGTCAAATGTTTCAAGTCGTGCCTAATCTTGTGCTAGAAATGTTGAAGACATTATTTTACACAGGTAATGACGCAGGACATAACTCTCAGCTGACTGCTTATTTACATGCCCTATGAAAATCCGGGTAGAAAGTAGGTCTTCAGCAACCCATGCTTGCCACAAGAGGCGACTATGCAAGTCGTAAGCGGCGACTAACGCGATCGGGGGTCAGGTTCGCTGACATGGCTGCATGTCATCGTATCCCAAATGTCTGGATTGATGCTCATGATGTCAGTTCATATAGTCGTAATTTAGTGAGTGCGGCGTTAAACAACAACAAACAAATGTTATGTATATAGTTATAAATAACAGAACCGGAGCCAACAAAGTAGTTATGTGGTTTTTTATCTGTTCCAGTTCCGCCTTTGTTACAGGTTAACCCTGTATGTCGTGTAATGAACACCTGATATTTCCATCCGAACACGATCATATGACTGACACTGAACAGCTGATATTTTGTACAGGGAAAATCGTATGGCGATCATATACTTACGATATATTGTCTGCTTTTTCGGTACACTTGTAAACAAAATTCCTCGTTTAACTTAAATGGGAAGTAGCCACCTTTAACGACATCGTGCTGCCATTGGTTGTTGACAAGGGCATTGAAAACAATTACATGGTGCTGTTTCCCGTGGAGGGCGTCGAATGTTGGCTTGATATGAAGCAGAACGTCCTTCCCTCTCATGAAATTGATGGAAAAGCTGAAATTGGAAATTTAAGAATCGTCATAAGATATCGGTTTCATTTCCATGCATTTACTGAATGATTGAGTGAGTTGGGTTTAACGCCGCTTGGAACAGGATTCCAGTTATATGGCGGCGTGTCAGCTTGATGTTTGGGGTCAAGCCCGAAGTTTACCACTTTGGGTGAGTGAGTGAGTTGGGTTTAACGCCGCTTTAACAGTATTCCAGTTATATCGCGAAAGCCCGAAGTGATGCAGGTTTCAGACGTTTACCACTTCGGTGAGACCCACGAGCACGGGTATGGTGCTGACAAACCTAGAAACATAATCTGGGCGAACCGGTATTCGAACCCACAATCATAGGTTTCTGGCGTGCCCAAGGGACGCAACTCTGCACAGCGAATCGCGGCACCTTAGACGACTGGGCCACCCGTGCCCCCTTTACCACTTTGGTGAAATCCACGAGTTATTATATGGTGCTGACAACATGATCGGGGCGAACCGGGTATCGGATGTGCTCAAGTGACGCAACGCTACACGGCGACTTGCGGCGCCTTCGAAACTGGTGCACAAACTGTATGTTGTAATTCAACGTGCAGACCTTCCTCAATAGATATAAAACAGACATAAAAATAAATACATTTGGAAACCTCATCGTTTTCACATGCAAGTAAATGGAACTCATCAATAAATGGAATTATTATAATAACATTGAAAATGAAATCTGTTACATTTAAAAAACGGGTTCTATTGTCCAGAATATGCCTGCTCATCTGCTTATGTGTAAGTGTCCAGAATATGCCTGCTCATCTGCTTATGTGTAAGTGTCCAGAATATGCCTGCTCATCTGTTTATGTGTAAATTATCTCAATTAAGTCAGCTTCTCATTCCTGTTGAAGACCAAATGATTCCATTGAAGATTTGTTGCCTCTTCTTCAGGAACCATCGGGACTGCACTAAGTAAGAACAAGACTATACTCTGTGTCGTTGAAAGAAATTAAACTACTCCAGCAACTTTAGCTGATAGGTGGATCTACAAACAGTAAGATCCCACAGTATCGACTAGAGAGTATAGACCTTGATATCGCTTTGAAACGTTTGACTAAACCAGAAACAAATTTCACTAAATCAGACAAATACCGCCATTTCTTGATTTTGAAATTTGAAAACAAGGGAATCGATGCTTTAAATTGAAGTAACATTCTCAGACAAAGATCAATTTAATTTTCCAAAACGAACACAATTTGATCCAGGTTGATCAATTATAGGAACGTGTTGGCAGCTCTTGGTTTAAATTCCACTACTTGTGGCAGCTAAGACTCATCATACTACTATCAACCTGCAGGTCATATAATCGCAGGTGACTTCTCTATTGTTGACAATAACAACCTTCGTCAGTTATCCAAATATGGACCAAAATACCGTGAGCAACCTCCTACCAATTAGGATCACAACTTTAAAATCATTATGGATGCTGTCGAAGAATATGCCAAAAAGAGAAGAGAAACCTGTTGAATGTCATTAGTAGAATGCACAAACGGTTAAAGAGGAAACGGAATTGGAATAAACCCATTCTGTCCCAGCCAGCTGTCGCCCAAAGTCTGACTGCTCTACATGAAAAGTTTTTACTTGTTCCCAATGACAGTGCCTCAAATAACCTATTATATGTAAGCATCACAACATTAATTGTTTGATCAATAAATTTAGTATAAATGACATATCAAATAATGCCACATATAAGGCCAGTATGTTAACTGAGGAAGAAATCTGCCCAAACCATAAATCAGTACTATCAACTTCCGACTTGACCCTAAAACCTGAAGACATGTCCATTCCCCTTTGTACTGGATTCCAAAACTCCATAAACATCCATACAAAGTGAGATATATTGCTGGGTCCAGCAAATGTACCACCAAATCCCTGTCTCAAAGACTGACCATAATCCTTAATACAATCAAGGAAGTTCCATTCGGTCAAAACATTTGATATTTTTCAAATTTGTACACCACTATCTTACATGACAAACTTAAGGGAAAACTTCATTCCTTGATCCATGTGGCTTTTGTTACAAGACGTGGTGTACACAGATACAGTTACGTATCTATATATACAGAGGTTCAGGACAATTTGTGATAAATGAAAGCAAATGCCATCTAAAGTATACTGAGAAAACAGTATTTGAACTGCTGGAGGTCCTCATTGATAACATCTACGTAAAATGTGGGGATAAAGACATTCAGGCAAGAAGTAGGCATCCCCATGGGTACCGACCCGTGGAGATTCCGGGGTAGAATAGGTCTTCAGCAACCCATGCTTGCCGTAAAAGGTGACTCTGCTTGTCGTAAGAGTCGACTAACGCGATCGGGTGGTCAGGCTCACTGACTTGGTTGATGCCTGTCATCGATCCCAATTGCGTGGATCGATGCTCATGATATTAATCACTGGATTGTCTGGTCCAGACTCGATTATTTACAAACCGCCGTCATATAGCTGGAATATTGCTGAGTGCGGCGTTAAACAACAAAGCAACCAACCAACCAATGGGTACCAATTGTACTGATCTGTTTCTTTAGGCATGTGAATCGAAATTTCTGTTCGGATTGGCAAAGTCAAACAAAACAAGGTAATTTTTGGCCATGAAGTTGAACCTAAAGCTTCTGTCATTTCGATGATCTGATATCGTTCAATTACAATCAAATAGCCAATTACTTTCCACTGATTTACCCACATGAACTAGAACTAAAGGAGACCAGTGAGATCGCCTCGTCTGTTTCATATACTGAACAACAAAAGTTCCTGTGACATTGAATAAGATTTAAGTTATGTTTTTTACCAAATCTGAAACAATTTCGGTTTGCAACAGATAGAAACTCCTGTAAGTGTTCAAATGGTGTAATTTGCCATACTGACTTCAGAAAATGCGTGACTTCATAGAAAACAATAGCGTGTGTGTCCACCTCTGGTTGCGATGCAAGCAGGACGAACATTCCATCTTCGTCTCATGGAATGGACTAGGTGTCGCACAAAGTCCTGTGGGATATCTGTCCATATCTGGTGGAGCATGTTTCGAAGTTCCTGGAGTGTCTGTGGAACACGTGGTTGACGTCGAAGGCGCCGATCCATCTCATCCCACATGTGCTCGATTGGTGAGAGATCAGGGGAGCGAGCCGGCCTGGGGAAGACATTCGCGTTGTTTTGTTGAAGAGAATCCTGAACATGTCGAGCAATATGAGTCCGGGCGTTGTCATGTTTAAAGGTAATGCCTGGGCCATGACGACGCAAAAAAAAGGTAGAACAACAGGGCCGATGATTTCGTCGCGGTAGCGCTGTCCATTGAGATTTCTCTCTACCACTATCAAACAGGTCCTCTGTCTTGCTGTAATCCCATACCATACCATAACACTGCCGCCCCCGAGCCGATCTTCTTTCATGACACAATGATAGACGTAACGTTCACCCTGACGTCGGTAGACTCGAATCCGTCCATCGCTGTGGCTGAGGTGAAAACGAGACTCGTCAGTGAATAGAACTTGTCCCCACTGCGTGGCCGTCCAGCGTAGACGATATCTGCACCACTGTGGACGTGCTTGACGGTGGTTTCCTGTCAAAATGGGACGTCTGGCGGGTCTTCTGGCGACAATCCCTGCACATCTGAGGCGACGACTCACAGTTTCGTCGAAGGCCAGGGATGCTAGCTTCTTGCAGTCACTGTTGCTGGCTGGAATTGATTTCGTAGGCGTGTTGTTCGAATCCAGTTGTCTTGTCGATTATTGGTTACGCGTGGCCTGCCACTCCGAGGATGGTCTCTGACTGCATTCGTCTGTTGCCAACGTTGCCATAAACACCAAATGGTGTTTCTGTGGATAATAAATTGTCTTGCACCATCACGTTGACTCGATCCTGCTTCAAGCATACCAATGGCTCGCAGACGCTCATTTTCGGACAGGCATGGCATTTTGTAATAATTTTGTTGTTTTTCTGATTGGTTGTCAGCAATATGCTAAACAATGCATATGGAATCCCGTTAACGCACATATTTTTATACCCAAACTTGGGTAGTGAATTGCATGGGGCTTGTATAAAAGTCAACTTCTGTAGCAGTTGCCTTTTTGTGACTTGATTCCATACATGTACTACAGTATTGAAAACCAAACTTTACTTGTTTGAAAAATACACTAAAATATTGATGTCACAGGAACTTTTGTTGTTGAGTATATTTATATCTATGCATAACGTTTCAGAGTGACAAGACACTCTCCACAAGACGGTATGATAAGAGGGATGACTTTCCCTTCATGTCGAGCAATATTCCAGCAGTTCGAGCCTTCGGTGTTTACATTTCGCAACTTTTGATATACAATCGAGCATGTTCTTTCTACCAAGATTTCAAAGAGCGTCATACGACTCTTGCTCAGAAGTTGTTTGATCAAGGTTACAACTTTCAAGGCCTCAGTAAAGCTTTCAAAAAGCTTTCCAAATTTGACGTATCAATGACAAAACTGATGTCAGATGCAATTTCCTATTTTGAATTGTAGCATATATTCCCATATCTTTTCTCTGGAACAATTGGCTTGTCTTTGCATGTGTTTGTGACGGGTGCCACCTCAGGGGCAGGATATGCTAACCTTTTCGCGAACACCTGGAATAATTACTATTTGAAAGTGATTCATAAACACATGCTCGTGATAAAGTTAGAATTGTACAATCGACTCTGCTTTATGCAGAGATTTCAATTGGATATGGAAAGGGTTTTGTCGCTATATTTATAGACATGGGTTTATGTTTTGCTATTTTTTCATTCCGTCAAGTAAAATAGTACGTGTTCAGCACAAACGAAATGCGCAAAAGCATAAATGACAAGCTTAAGCCAATAGGTTAAACGACGAGGTTTTGATTGTTTGTGTGTTTGTTTGTTTGTTGTTTAACGCCACACTTTGCAATATCACAGCTATGTGACGGCGGTTTGTAAATAATCGAGTCTGGACCACGCAATCCAGTGATTGACATCATGAGCATCGATCCACGCGATTGGGATCGATGACATGCATCAACCAAGTCAGCGAGCCTGACCACCCGATTCCGTTAGTTGCCTACACGACAAGCATAGTCTCATTTTACGGCAAGCATTCGTTGCTGAAGAACCTATTCTACCCCGGTTCTTCACGGGTCAAACGACGAGGTGAGCTTACGCTGAACACACGTCAACAAAGGCAACATATGGCAGCCTTCACATATTTAGCCCCCAAAATTTCAACCATTAAATATAAAGGGACCTTAAAAACTTAATATCCCTTAATTAATTTGCATTCTTCTCACCCTCGCGATGGCTTGGGTTTCATGTAAGCGTCAGAGATCTTCAGGCTTTCCTCCAACAACAAGCTCACGCGCCGTGATATAACTAAAATACTGTTCAAAGCGGCGTTAAGCCAAACTCACTCACTCACTCATTCACTCGCGGACTGTTGGTAAAACATAAGTTTATAACATCTCTCTTGCTACTTACACAGGGCTGTCTTCGGGGATAGCACAGAATTTAACTATCCTCTTTCCCCTCAGGTCCTTTGGTAGTACATAATCGTCTTCCTACAAACAATACGACATATTCATATCAGACTGCAGGAAGGAACGTGAGAGAGTCCATGGAGAGATATATGATTCACATCATAGGTAGCTACACATAAAGGGCCGCTACATATACGCAGCTACACATCATACACATACACATCATACACAGCTACACATCATACTCAGCTACACATCACACACAGCTACACATACACTGCTACACATACACAGCTACACATACACAGCTACACAACATATTCAGCTACACATCATACACAGCTACACATCATACACAGCTACTTATCATAAACAGCTACACATCATACACAGCTACACAAAATATTCAGCCACACATCATACACAGCTACATATCATACACAGCTACTAATCATACACAGCTACACACCATACTCAGCTACGCATCATACACAGCTACACATCATAAACAGCTACACATAGACTGTAACACATACACAGCTACACAACATATTCAGCTACACATCATACACAGCTACACATCATACACAGCTACTTATCATACACAGCTACACAAAATATTCAGCCACACATCATACACAGCTACACATCATACACAGCTACACACCATACTCAGCTACACATCATACACAGCTACACATCATGAACAGCTACACATAGACTGCAACACATACACAGCTACACAACATATTCAGCTACACATCATACACAGCTACATATTTTTCACTGCTACACACCATACACAGCTACACATACACACCTACGTATCATACACAGCTACACATACACAGCTACACATCATACACAGCTACACATCATACACGGCTACACAGCTACACATACACAGCTACACATCATACACAGCTACACATACACAGCTACACATCATATACAACTACACATCATACAGAGCTACACATCATACACAGCTACACATACACAGCTACTCATCATACACAGCTACACATCATACACAGCTACACATACACAGCTACACATCATACACAGCTACACTTCATACACAGCGACACATCATACACAGCGACACATCATACACAGTTACACATACACAGCTACACATCATACACAGCTACGCATACACAGCTACACATCATACACAGCTACACATCATACACAGCGACACATCATACACAGCGACACATCATACACAGTTACACATACACAGCTACACATCATACACAGCTACGCATACACAGCGACACATCATACACAGCTACACATCATACACAGCTACACTTCATACACAGCGACACATCATACACAGTTACACATAGACAGCAACATATCATACACAGCTACACATACACAGCTACACAACAAACACAGCTACACATACACATCATACACAGCTACACATCATACACATACACAGCTACACATCATACACAGCTACACATCTCCACATACACAGCTACACTTCATACAAAGCTACACATCTCCACATACACAGCTACACTTCATACAAAGCTACACATCATTCACAGCTACACATAGACAGCTACACATACACAGCTACACACGGATATCTACACATCATACACAGCTACACATCATACACAGCTACACATCATACACATACACAGCTACACATACACAGCTACACATCATACACAGCTACACACGGATATCTACACATCATACACAGCTACACATCATACACAGCTACACATCATACACAGCTACACATCATACACAGCTACACATCATACACAGCTACACATCATACACATACACAGCTACACATCATACACAGCTACACATCATACACAGCTACACATCATACACAGCTACACATCATACACAGCTACACATACACAGCTACACATCATACACATACACAGCTACACATCATACACAGCTACACATCATACACAGCTACACATCATACACAGCTACACATCATACACATACACAGCTACACATCATACACAGCTACACATCTCCACATACACAGCTACACTTCATACAAAGCTACACATCATACACAGCTACACATCATAAATAGCTACACATCATACACAGCTACACATACACAGCTACACATACACAGCTACACAAACACAGCTACACATCATAAACAGCTACACATCATACACAGCAACGCATCATACACAGCAACGCATCATACACAGCTACACATCATACACAGCTACACATCATACACAGCTTCGCATACACAGCTACACATACACAGCTACACATTATACACAGCTACACATCATACACAACTACACATACACAGCTACACATTATACACAGCTACACAGCTACACATCATACACAGCTACACATACACAGCTACATATCATACACAGCTACACATACACAGCTACACATACACAGCTACACATACACAGCAACACATACACAGCTACACATACACAGCTACACATCATACACAGCTACACATACACAGCTACACATTATACACAGCTACACAGCTACACATCATACACAGCTACACATACACAGCTACATATCATACACAGCTACACATACACAGCTACACATACACAGCTACACATACACAGCTACACATACACAGCAACACATACACAGCTACACATACACAGCTACACATCATACACAGCTACACATCATACGCAGCTACACATCATACACAGCTACACATCATACACAGCTACGCATCATACACAGCTACACATCATACACAGCTACGCATCATACACAGCTACACATCATACACAGCTACACATCATACACAGCTACACATACACAGCTACACATACACAGCTACACATTATACACAGTTACACATCCTACACAGCTACACATCATACACAGCTACACATACACAGCTACATATCATACACAGCTACACATACACAGCTACACATACACAGCTACACATAGACAGCTACACATACACAGTTACACATACACAGCTACACATACACAGCTACACATACACAGCTACACAAACACAGCTACAAATACAGCTACACATCATAAACAGCTACATATCATACACAGCAACGCATCATACACAGCTACACATCATACACAGCTACACATCATACACAGCTACGCATCATACACAGCTACACATTATACGCAGCTACACATCATACACAGCTACGCATACACAGCTACACATACACAGCTACACATACACAGCTACACATTATACACAGCTACACATCATACACAGCTACACATACACACCTACGTATCATACACAGCTACACATACACAGCTACACATCATACACAGCTACACATCATACACGGCTACACAGCTACACATACACAGCTACACATCATACACAGCTACACATACACAGCTACACATCATATACAACTACACATCATACAGAGCTACACATCATACACAGCTACACATACACAGCTACTCATCATACACAGCTACACATCATACACAGCTACACATACACAGCTACACATCATACACAGCTACACTTCATACACAGCGACACATCATACACAGCGACACATCATACACAGTTACACATACACAGCTACACATCATACACAGCTACGCATACACAGCGACACATCATACACAGCTACACATCATACACAGCGACACATCATACACAGCGACACATCATACACAGTTACACATACACAGCTACACATCATACACAGCTACGCATACACAGCGACACATCATACACAGCTACACATCATACACAGCTACACTTCATACACAGCGACACATCATACACAGTTACACATAGACAGCAACATATCATACACAGCTACACATACACAGCTACACAACAAACACAGCTACACATACACATCATACACAGCTACACATCATACACATACACAGCTACACATCATACACAGCTAAACATCTCCACATACACAGCTACACTTCATACAAAGCTACACATCTCCACATACACAGCTACACTTCATACAAAGCTACACATCATTCACAGCTACACATAGACAGCTACACATACACAGCTACACACGGATATCTACACATCATACACAGCTACACATCATACACAGCTACACATCATACACATACACAGCTACACATACACAGCTACACATCATACACAGCTACACACGGATATCTACACATCATACACAGCTACACATCATACACAGCTACACATCATACACAGCTACACATCATACACAGCTACACATCATACACATACACAGCTACACATCATACACAGCTACACATCATACACAGCTACACATCATACACAGCTACACATACACAGCTACACATCATACACATACACAGCTACACATCATACACAGCTACACATCATACACAGCTACACATCATACACATACACAGCTACACATCATACACAGCTACACATCTCCACATACACAGCTACACTTCATACAAAGCTACACATCATACACAGCTACACATCATAAATAGCTACACATCATACACAGCTACACATACACAGCTACACATACACAGCTACACAAACACAGCTACACATCATAAACAGCTACACATCATACACAGCAACGCATCATACACAGCAACGCATCATACACAGCTACACATCATACACAGCTACACATCATACACAGCTTCGCATACACAGCTACACATACACAGCTACACATTATACACAGCTACACATCATACACAACTACACATACACAGCTACACATTATACACAGCTACACAGCTACACATCATACACAGCTACACATACACAGCTACATATCATACACAGCTACACATACACAGCTACACATACACAGCTACACATACACAGCTACACATACACAGCAACACATACACAGCTACACATACACAGCTACACATCATACACAGCTACACATACACAGCTACACATTATACACAGCTACACAGCTACACATCATACACAGCTACACATACACAGCTACATATCATACACAGCTACACATACACAGCTACACATACACAGCTACACATACACAGCTACACATACACAGCAACACATACACAGCTACACATACACAGCTACACATCATACACAGCTACACATCATACGCAGCTACACATCATACACAGCTACACATCATACACAGCTACGCATCATACACAGCTACACATCATACACAGCTACGCATCATACACAGCTACACATCATACACAGCTACACATCATACACAGCTACACATACACAGCTACACATACACAGCTACACATTATACACAGTTACACATCCTACACAGCTACACATCATACACAGCTACACATACACAGCTACATATCATACACAGCTACACATACACAGCTACACATAGACAGCTACACATACACAGTTACACATACACAGCTACACATACACAGCTACACATACACAGCTACACAAACACAGCTACAAATACAGCTACACATCATAAACAGCTACATATCATACACAGCAACGCATCATACACAGCTACACATCATACACAGCTACACATCATACACAGCTACGCATCATACACAGCTACACATTATACGCAGCTACACATCATACACAGCTACGCATACACAGCTACACATACACAGCTACACATACACAGCTACACATTATACACAGCTACACATCATACACAGCTACATATCATACACAACTACACATACACAGCTACACATACACAGCTACACATTATACACAGCTACACAGCTACACATCATACACAGCTACACATACACAGCTACATATCATACACAGCTACACATCATACACAGCTACACATACACAGCTACACATCATACACAACTACACATACACAGCTACACATACACAGCTACACATTATACACAGCTACACATCATACACAGCTACATATCATACACAACTACACATACACAGCTACACATTATACACAGCTACACAGCTACACATCATACACAGCTACACATACACAGCTACATATCATACACAGCTACATATCATACACAGCTACACATACACAGCTACACATACACAACTACACATACACAGCTACACATACACAGCTACACATTATACACAGCTACACAGCTAAACATCATACACAGCTACACATACACAGCTACATATCATACACAGCTACACATACACAGCTACACATAGACAGCTACACATACAGTTAGTTACACATACACAGCTACACATCATCCACAGCTACACATCATACACAGCTACACATCATTCACAGCTACACATAGACAGCTACACATACACAGCTACACACGGATATCTACACATCATACACAGCTACACATACACAGCTACACATAGACAGCTACACATACAGTTACACATACACAGCTACACATCATACACAGCTACACATCATACACAGCTACACATCATACACAGCTACATATACACAGCTACACATACACAGTTACACATCATACACAGCTACACATACACAGCTACACATTATACACAGCTACACATCATACACAGCTACACATCATACACAGCTACACATACACAACTACATATCATACACAGCTACACATACACAGCTACACATACACAGCTACACATAGACAGCTACACATACACAGTTACACATACACAGCTACACATACACAGCTACACACCATTCACAGCTACGCATCATACACAGCTACACTTCATACACAGCTACACATACACAGCTAAAGATCATACACAGCTACACACACAGGTACACAGCTACACCCACAACTACACATACACAGCTACACATACACAGCTGCACATCAAACGCATCTGCACAGAATATACGCTTTTACTTTTCACACCATGCGCCGACAAACGCAATACTATTTTGGTATCTTCCAACACATTGTAAATAATCGTGAAAAAAAACTTACACATAGTATATGGGCAGTGCTTGTGCAGGCTCGTTGAGGTTTGGGCCAGGGATTACCGGCACTGCACGTGACAGTAAAAGATGTCTCTCTGAAGGATTTGAAGTGTTTCCAACAGCTGTATAGAGCCACCACTTCAGTTGGCAGAAGGGTCAATCGTACATCAGCGTTAGCTATTTCAGGTGGGTCCAAACAAGCAGCACATCCTGTGACAGATGGATCAGGTTGGACAGTAAATTAAAACCACTTTTGAATAAAGTACCAACCATTGTATATTCTGGGGGGTGTTCTGATATGGGGGTGCTTAACTTCTTATCTTCAGCAACAAATCCCAGGGTACCTTCCCCGAAATGTCTTTCAGTCTGTATCAATGCCACTATAGTGATCCGAGGTAAAATTGGTCTTCAGCAACCCATGCTGCCGTAAAAAGCGACTATGCTTGTCGTAAGAGGCGACTAACGGGATCGGGTGGTCAGGCTCGCTAACTTGGTTGATGCATGTCATCGTATCCCAATTGCGTGGATCGATGCTCATGATGTCAATCACTGGATTGTCTGGTCCAGACTCGATTATTTACAGACCGCCGTCATAAAGCTGGAATATTGCTGAGATCGTCGTTAAACAACAAAATAAAACAAACAAAAAACATTATATTATCCATACGTCAATTCCATTCAATTTATAAAGAGCTGTATACCCAGTTTAAGAAGGCAGACTTTCCGCTGTGCATGTGTTACGATGGGCGACTGGAACTTGTCGTGGCAATTGTTGTTGTTGTGTCCATTTTCCTGCAAGTTTGAATGATATTCCAATTATTTAGGAGCAGGTTGCGGATGATTAATACCTGCAAACGAGGCCTGTCTAATTTGCTCGGAAAAGCAAATATTTTGTTTTAAATAAACCTGCTTCTAATTTGCATCTGTTGCTGTACTTGCCTAGGACAAGGTACAATAAACATCGTATGAGAGATCAGAGTCTATGGTGCTTTAAATGCGTGGACACTGATCGGAAAAAAATGCAAAGGGCCCCTGCAACAAGTCAGAATTCAGCTCAAGAATTACGTGATTGTGAACGCGTTTATATTTTGTGACTTTTTGTGACATCTTTACATTAGAATGCCAAGATGTCAGACATCAGTGAACTAGCACACGAATTAGCTGGAACTCATCATTTTGTCTGATATGCCCTCAATAGATGATTTGAAAGATTTAATCGCATCAGCTGAGGATGCTGCTGTAAAATCTCTCAAGGAAAACATGAAACGAGACATAAAAGAAGCTATTCTTTCGGAGTTAAATTTTGACAAACTGTTATTTCTCAGCTACAGACTGAAAACGACAATCTTAAAGTCTCAGTGAAAGTTCAGCAAGTACAAATTGATGACCAGACATCAAAGTTTGATTCATTATAAAATCAAACAACTGCAGCCTACATGGTCTAACCAAAATTAACACTACTCTTAAAAAACAATATTAAGGTGTTTAACATGCCAGAGGCAGAGGGAAAAGACTTATTTGGCAAATCAAAGGCCGATATCACAGTGAGGAAGGAAGATATGTCTGTCATACACAGAATTGACCACATAAATAAGACAATCAGTATTGGTCAAGTTTACATCAACCGAAACAAAATCAAAAGTCATAAAAGCTAGGAAACAGATAAGAGATATATCCACAATGCGATCAGCTGATGACGTCACAAAGGACTTAAGAACCATGTCGACATCGACATAGCTTGTGTTTGAATGGAAGCGTCTACGGACAAACAAGAAAGGGTGAACGGTACAAGTTCTACCCCTATGATGGCATATTCATCATTGGCCATGGTTGAATAACAAACTTATATACCCTTTCATGGACAAACCCTTCTGTGACCTGTGCAGAAAGTCAAGGGTAGTGTTTGTTAAGTCGGTCAACGTTGTTGTTGCTTGAAAGTTGTTTATTTCAAAACAGGGTTAAGTCTATCCATCAACCGTCAGGAGTTATTTACATTAAAACATACCTTGAACTAGTACAAACATGGAAAGGGGGGACAAATACTTGGAACAGTGACAATGCTTTGTGATAACTTTGTTGTCGTCACAAGTTTCACATATATTTTTAGTTTTACTTAGTCGGCGTTACGCTCAACAAGGATGATAAGACTTTCACTCCATGAAGTCGCTTTGTTGTTGTTATTACCACGAGTATTATTTGTTTCATCATGTTTTTACCATGTGCTCTGGACCAATCACGACCACAGCTGGACAGTTATATTACTGCTGCTTCATTGACATTTGGACTTTGCCTGAACTATTATCTCTCTTCACATTGTCAGGGTCCAGTTTAATTTCTGTCGGGACACTCCCTCATGAGTAGCACCCCTAAACTCTTTTTTTTATTTTTAATCTGCACGCGGTCTCCAAGCTGAACGCCATGACATATTTAACTTTGTTCGTTAAAAAAGCTTCCTTTGTCTTCTTGCAGGAAACGGGGCGGTCGGGTAGCCTAGTGGTTAAAGCGTTCGCTCGTCACGCCGAAGACCTGGGTTCTATTCCCGACATGGGTACAATGTGTGAAGCCCATTTCTGGTGTCCCCCGCCGTGATATTGCTGGAATATTGCTAAAAGCGGCGTAAAACCATACTCACTCACTCACTCACTCACTCTTGCAGGAAACTCATAGTAGTTTACAAAATGAAAATACATGGGCAGCTGAATGGGGATATAGTGGCCATTTCTCTCATGGTAGTTTGTTTGTTTGTTGTTTAACGCCGCACTGGAATGGAACTGACGTATGGATAATAAAATGGTGTTTTTATTTTATTTTGTTGTTTAACGACGATATCAGCAATATTCCAGCTATATGACGGCTGTCTGTAAATAATCGAGTCCGGACCAGTCAATCCAGTGATTGACATCATGAGCATCGATCCACGCAATTGGGATCGATGGCATGCATCAACCAAGTTAGCGAGCCTGTCCACCCGATCCCGTTAGTCGCCTGTTACGGCAAGCATAGTCGCCTTGTACGATAAGCATGGTCGCCTCTTACGGCAAGCATCTCATGGCAGTACACATAGTGCAGAAGTAATGGTCCTCATGTAAAATTATTTTGAATATCAAATTTATGAAATAATTGTCGACGACCATAGTCGCTTTAAAATTTCAGATATTACCACTGAGGATTATCGATTCTCGATTTTAGACATATACGGTCCCAACAACTCACTAATTTCTTCCAAGACCTTGTATTTGAATAAAAACAACTTCCGGGTTCAGTTATATGGGGAGCAGGTTGGAATGTTGTTCAAGATCACTTAAAAGATACACATAATTGTAAAGGTAGAAATAACCCTCTAGCACATACCAAAAGTAGGAAAATCAAAGTGAAACTAGACTTGGAGAATATTTAATCCAGCAAACGAGAAATAAACATGGCGAAAAAACAACTCTATCATACAAAGTAGATTGGACTATGTTCGTGTCTCTGAAGGTGTTGTCACTTGTTAAATCTGCATGTAAAGGAATAAGTTATAGATCAGACCACTTATTTGTTTCCCTTGAATTGACATTAAATCCTATTGAACAAAGACCGGGTTATTGGAAATTAAGTTTCTCATTGTAACCATCTCCCCGAGGCAAGAGAATTAACTGACTTTAAAAGTCCAGTTTCCACCCTTGCCGAGCTAAGCTGGAATTCTTTGGCTCGATCGTGGCGCCACCAGTGGCTATTGCGAGTTATGTCCCTTCTAAGCCTCTCCTATGGACCAATCAGATTGCACCTCTCGTATCACTTGCATTTGCTTCAAACAAAATGGCGGCGCCCAGCAAAGACGATCTGATCGATAATCAAGATCTATATTGTGATAAAACGGGCCTTACATCGCAAAGCGCATCAAATCACGTGAGCACCTTAATTAAAAATATGAAAAGATTTGGAAAATATCTGTTGACAACAAGTTTGCGGTGCACATGCTATGCAAATCCTGCAATCGACCGAAATCTGCATGACACTTTACGAACCGGATTTCGATTTCGTTGCGCGATTCTGATTGGACTATGCATAAACTCGTTAATCCAGCCAAAATGTAACGCCATAATACCAGCCTGGTTCGGCAAGGGTGGAAACTGGACTTTTTAGTCATTTAACTCTCTTGCCTCGGAAAGATGTATTGTAACATGAGTTAAGATACATTACTTTCGCGAAAAACACGATTAAAAGTACACTTGATGAATACCACGTATCGTGTCTCATAAACTTGATGAAGCATCATCCCACTGCAACAATTTATATACTAGTCATAACGATGACAATTGGGAAAATTTCTCAATACCCTTCACAAACATAGAAGTGAAACTGGAGCAAGATAAACGAGATCACTGTGAAGGTGACATTTCTCTCAATGAATGTGCACAAACATTGCATAGATGAAAAATGAAAAACATCCAGGCCCAGATGGCTTTTCAGCCGAATTTTATATAATTTCTTCTGGAGAGATATTGGTATTGTGGTATGGGTATCAATTATATTTACATATGCAGTCGGCAACCTATCCAATTTCCAAAGACATTATTACCTGTATCCACAAAGAAGGTCGCGATCGACGTTTCTTGAAAAATTGGCGTCCAATAAATCTACTCAATGTAGACTATAAAATAGCATCTGGGGCAATGTCTTGGGAAAACATGTCTTGCCAGAAATAATTAGCGAGACACAAACTGGCTTACTTAAGGGTCGTTTTATTGGGGAAAATACACGGACATTTTACGACATTTTGAATCATTGTGAAATACATGAAATACAAGGCTGACTTGTTACTGTAGATTTTGAAAAGGCTTTTGATAGTAGTTGAGTGGGATTTTATATATGAAACTAAAGAGGCTTTCAACATTGGTCCAACTTCCAATACTGGGTCAAACCTTTCCAGAAAAATAGATGCAGCGCAACAATTAACACGAGACATATTTCGAACTATTTGATACTCGATCCATTGTCCCAAGATACATTTATCATATGTGCTGAGCTACTTTCAATTTCAATTAAAAATAACATAAAAGGTATTGATATAAAGGAGTAGAATACTTAATACTCCAATATGCAGATGATTCAAACTTTACTTAAAGAGATCAGAAAAAGAGAATTGATAAGTATACTAAGAAAGATTTGCTATTGCTTCGGATTTGAAAATCAATTGTGACTAGAGTATGGCTATTTGAATTAGTTCTAATAAGAATTCAAATGAACCCATATTCCTTTGCGCTGGTCAAAAGAACATTTTAAACTTCTAGGCATTATGTTCTCGAAATCTACAAGGTAAGATTTCTATAAGTTTCGAAATACAGATGAGAAAAGCAAGGAAAATATGTTCCTCTTGGCAAAAAAAGACAATTAACCCTACGGGGTAAAATAACAATCATAAAACCCCAAATTATGCCCCCTTTTACTCATCTTTTGTTCAGCCCGACTAACGGAGGCGACTAACGGGATCGGTTAGTCAGGCTCGCTGACTTGGTTGATGCATGTCATCGTATCCCAATTGTGTGGATCGATGCTCATTATGCCAATCACGAGATAGTCTAGTCCAGACTCGATTATTTACAGACAGCCGTCATGTAGCTGGAATATTGCTGAGTGAGGCGTTAAACAACAAATTAACAAAACAAACATTGGGACGATAAGTCATTTCATGAAGGCTATACCAGTCAGTAGGAAGTTCACTTTGTATGTTATACAACTAATTGAAATTACCATACACAAATAACGGTTCATCTGAGATTCGCAAGATGGAACTGCATTAGTTGATATTCTAACGACTGTCCAAGAGGGCCTAATCTCATTTGCAAAATGAACTTCAAGGACGTAAGTAAAAGCTGTGATAAATGGTGGAAAGATGCTCGTGATGTTTTGTTTATTAGTGATGCTCTGAACCTGCTCTGAACGCCATCCCCTGCGGTTCACACAGACCTTTCTTCTGTTTTAGCAATAACATAACCCATGACATTAAATAGTGTATCATTATTTCATCGAGGTACGATAACAATGCTATCAGTCAAGTAACAAAGCCGACCTCCCGACCACTGTTTCAGACGGACGCTTATGACACACATCGGGTTTTGGGGATCTATTCTGACCCGGATTGCATATTAATAAATTCTCTGCCAAACAAACAGGAAATCATAGTTGTGTTGTGACCCTCCGGTTTACAGCGGCTTTTTAGGCCTAGTAACATTTTCATAACTCAATTAAGCTTTTCGGTCAAATCAAATATAGTGTATACTTTCTTTTAGCCAATGTCTGACACGGTCTGAAAATGAGCAAATGTACCAGTAGAGTTCTACCATTTTGGCCTGTGAAATATATTTGACGTGTATTATACGTGTACTCACTCTTTCCATTTGCATCCACGTCAGAGAACCCGATGTTCTCTGTACCGCCCGTCTTTTTCCCATCCAGTACCTCTCACATGACATCTCTGCAGCGTCATACGCTACAGCCAGACAAGCTGAATTTACAGCGCACCCCTTCTTACAGGCCTCTATGCCAACCTGAGCAATGACCTGAGATACCGCTTCACCTGCAACAGATGTGTAAGCTCCTGTCATATACAGGTTACATGTCGCGGTATGTACTTGCAAAATGGACCGCATCCGTCGTCTCGTGGATAAGAACGTTTACACGTTTAGTTTCATTCCTTAAGACGTTAAAAGAATGTATTTTTTGTACCCTGCCTGGCGCTTGGCATGAATGGGATTAAACAAGGACTGGTCGGCTCGAAGTCAGTATACTGTGTCTGAGTGGGGTATTCATGTAAAAAAGCGGCAGTGGGCTACTACCATAAAACCGGTATCACACACACACACACACACACACACACACACACACACACACGCGCGCACGCACGCACACACACTCGCACGCACATTCACACACACCAACTCGCACACGCACGCACGCACGCACACACACATACACGCACGCAGACATACACACACATACGCACACACACACGTGGATGCATGTCGCCATGTAAGTGCAATAATCTTGAACGCGATGTTAAACCGTTCAACGTTAAACTTCCATCTCAGCAACTATCCCAATGTTACAAAATAAATGACAGTATTCTGGACGTAATAATGCAAGAGATAATTGAAATATTGATGCAAACCTTCAACTGCCTTGAAATTCAGGATTAGTAAAATGTACACCGCTACATGCACCTGGTCCATGCTTGTCAGGGTGGAAGGAAACGCTATCTGGAACCACAATGAAACATCCACTTGTCCTGGAATCTCAATGTGATTTGAATGGTTGTCGTACGAGGTTACTTAATTATTTAAGGAATATTCAATAATTGTTTTTCTTGGATCGTTCATCACGTTGACATTTTGGTCAGAAGTTAACCCTTAATATTACACGTCTTACCACACACACACACTATTTAGCAAATCATGTGATATTTGAACCACGGACATAATTATCCAGTTATTTAGGTCCGTGTTGGAACTTCGAAACAGACTCACTTTTAAATGTTGGCCAAAACACTGACAGTGTCATGAAGAATCAACTCAAATGACTGCCCATGATCTTTCTTGACCAATAACATTTTGAAACATTACCTTACGCTGAACGATAAAACAAGGGAGAAGGACAAAGTAGGTTACACCATACAAATACATTTGGGTGCCTGGTTTCTCCAAGCCACATGCTGTTACCATTCGCTAAAGCAGCTTTTCTGACGAAATGGTCATGTGCGGGTGAAAAATCAATTCAACATGGTTTCAAGCAAGCCGTCATGTATAAGCCTTATGGGAAGGCAGTGAATTCTGGCATGGAATTCTAAAGCGACAGGGTATAAGTCCCTGCCAGCAACGTGTTTCAAAGGAGACTTCAATATTTCAAGTCATCAGCCGCTCAAAGTGTGATACGCAAAAGGCAGACAATTGGAAATAAATATAGAATACTAAACGAGCTCCCGTGTAATACCAATTTTATGAAACTCGTGAATAGTTGTGGTATCTGACTCGCTTTCGCTCGTCAGATACCACAACTATTCACGAGTTTCATAAAATCGGTTTTACACGGGAGCGAGTTTAGTATTTTATTTATTACTTGCCATTTATAACGTTTTTAGAATTATACTGTTGAGTGTGAATAGGCTTACACCTACACGATCCACGGCATAATCCAACTGAGTTTATCACAGTAATACTTCAGTAATACTTCAAATACGTCAAAAGTTGAAACGTTTGAATTTAATACCATCCAACGGTCCACCTTTAGAATTCAGGCGTCCGTTCCACAAAATTATCGTAGCGTTAAGGTTATCGCAACTCATATATATAATACTTTAACTTTGACCAACGACTGTCGTCGCGCTACCGTACGATCGCCTTGTGGAACGGGGCCTTGCACCTCAAAGTTTACAATCACGTCACAATACCCAATGACGTAATTTGTGGAATTTTGTTGCAAGATCCTTCGGCGAAACAATGCCATGTGACGTCAACCTAGCAACAAGGTTGCTGGGGTCATCCAGTGTGCATAAGCTCCTCTCAGTGATCTATCATCTCCACAAGCAATGTCGTTGAATAAGCCAAGGGATGTTGAGAGCTTTCAATATTTGTTCGTGAAACGTGTTCCGAGAGTACATAAGCACGCGTTTTGGTATTACACAATGTGTAATACAGCTGTATGTTTATTAAACGGGTGATCTCTTCACGGGCAAGTAATAAAAGGCCGTTTGTCGGTCGACCTTTCTCTGGGGAACCTGCTCATGGTAGTGGCAGGTCACTAACGCACGTGAAGACTGTTAAATGCCATCTTGGTTATCTCTTGGTTATATCAACGCCTAAATTCTACCCATGCCACATCAAGCCCACTTTTCTCGATCGTGGCGCCAACTCGCGTAGATCACGAGTTGTGCTCCTTGTAATTAATATTTGTACGACAGCATGTTTAAATAATTGTTTGATATCTTGGCCCTTTATGACATTGAATTATATTGTTTCAATGCCTCCCGACCATATTTTTACAAATAAATGATTTTGAAATATTTTTTTCAACCACCGCCTTCCTTCAAGTTTTGAAACAAAAAATCGTAAACAAACCAATAAAAAAAGGGCATAACCAGAAAACTGCCTTTGTCGAAATGAAGGCGCTGGTAGAGATAATGGACTGACAGTAAAAGGCACATTGATCAGGTTTTAAGGACCGAGGTTGTACTATTTTATGACAGACATCCAAGTTTACAAATTTCTGCTCGACGGCACACCGCTTGGACAACTCGGGTGTTCCTTGAAAAACGAGATACAAGCTAAATGGTATCTGACAGGCACAAGTGTAGTCATCTCTTTCTTACACACCCTATAAAATCGCCCCATTTTTGCGCAGAATCGATGCATAATTTGTCCATTCTCATAATCTCAGTGGCGCATTAATACATAACACAACGCCGGTCATTTGTGACCTCTTCCGGCCTACTACCTCCTACCCACACCTAGTGTGACCTTCCACAATAAGGTTCCGCAATATCTGTGTATTATCAAGCGATGGTGATAATGCAAACTAGATGAGATCAAAGAACATTAATAAAACTCTAAATCCATAGAGTCCCGGCACAGCCGTAGGTGAATTCGTCCCGTGAAGATCCGGGGTAGAATAGGTCTTCAGCAACCCATGCTTGCCGTAAAAGGTGACTATGCTTGTCGTAAAAGGCGACTAACGGGATCGGGTGGTCAGGCTCGCTGACTTGGTTGATGCATGTCATCAATCCCAATTGCGTGGATCGATGTTCATGATGTAAATCACTGGATTGTCTGGTCTAGACTCGAGTATTTACAGACCGCCGTCATATAGCTGGAATATTGCTGAGTGCGGCGTAAAACAACAACCAAACCAAATCAAACCGTAGGTGAATTCGACCAAAGTACGAGTAACGTATCAATTAATTACAATCAGGAAAGTAGTACGTCATAATTTGACCTTAGGTCATCGACATTGAGTAGCCAATCACGGACCAGGAATTCGATCTCACATATGATGCAAGGAATCTCAAATGGGTTTCTCACCCACAGGTATGTACGAAAACGTTTTTGGTTGGCGATGTAGCAGCGAGGGGTGTGCCAAGGAAACAGTTCTTGGCCATGATCGGTATGGGTGCGGTAGTGTCATGGTGTTGGGCGGTATCACACATGACAGGCGAACTCATTTCGTTATTGTGAATGGGCATTTGATTGGCAAGCGATATGTTGACGAAAGTTTGTGTCCTGTAGTTATTCCATTCGTTTAAGACCCGTGAAGATCCGAGGTAGAATGGTCTTCAGCAACCCATGCTTGCCGTAAAAGGGACTATGCTTGTCGTAAAAGGCGACTAACGGGCGGTCAGGATCGCTGACTTGGTTGATGCATGTCATCGTATCCCAATTGCGTGGATCGATGCTCATTATATCAATTACTTGATTGTCTGGTCCAGACTCGATTATTTTCAGACCGCCGTCATATAGCTGGAATATTACTGAGTGCGGCGTTAAACAACAATCAAACAAACACTGCCTGAATATTAGCAACATAACCCCACTAAAACGATCAGTGACGAACGCTGCATTCAGTTTAATGATGTGGGGAAGCATTACAATTCGTCGTGCACATAGTGGCATGTTTTTCTTAAATCTTTGGAATAATTTTCTATGTCATCAAAGGTAGCGTTGATATTTCGGTCATGAAAATATTTAATTGCTTTAGATCGGTGTCTTGCTTTCTCGTAGGCACTGTTTCTAGAGTTTCTCGGCACAACATAGTGTCCATCAACATTAAACGACATCGGCGCAGGGCAACCGTAATGACGTCTCTCCCCTTTGGAAACAGGCGCATCCTCATCTTGCTTTCTGATGGCATCATGCAATTTTTGGCAAAGGAAACATTCAAACTTTCTGAAAATACCTGTCCCATCAGTCAGTCTCGTCTTTCGGTTGACTTCCAACAGGTATTTATTTTTAATTCCAGTTTTTTTATATTGTAAATACTTTTCATATTCCTCGTCGTGTTGGTCCAGGTAGTTAATATGGCGAGCCACGTCCTCTATGTTCTTGAAGTCAGTTATCACAATGGCGGATTTTTCAGCAGGAAGGTAATCCTGGAATGAAAAAGCAAGCGTTCGAGGTTATATATCAAAATTAATAATTCCTGCTATGACTTTGAGTATATTACCTCCGTGGGGATTTCAGGGTAGGATTGATCCCGTGTTATCTAGGCGTATCGTTTGTTTGTTTGTTTGTTTCTTACTGTGTTGTTTAACGCCGCACTCAGCAATATTACAGGTATCTGACGGCGGTCTGTAAATAATCGAGTCTGAACCACACAATCCAGTGATTGAGCATCGATCTATGCAATTGGGATACGTTGACATGCATCAACCAAGTCAGCGAGTCTGACCATCCGATCCCGTTAGTCGCCTCTTACGACAAGCATAGACGCCTCTTACGACAAGCATGGGTTGCTGAAGACCTATTTTTACCCGGATCTTCACGGGTCTGCGTATCGTTAGAGTCGACCAAAATGGATCGGGGTCTCAAGTGCTGCGACCTTGGCTAACTGTGTGTCATTGTAAGCCCGATAACATGATCGGTGCTCATGTTTTCAGTCACTGGTTTAACTCTGTATTACAAAATGTAATATTGCCGACTTTGACATTAAACTACATTCACTCGGTAACTGTGCAAAATTCTTAATTCAATCGTTTTGAAATGTATATAAAACACATTGGATGTTGTATAAACCCGTAATTTAGAAATCGTCTTGAATTTAAAATATGACATTCGATCCAGGAAATGATACGAACAAATTATAGAATGGTAATTTTCCTTGTCATTGGTTCTGTATACTTACGCAACTGATATTTGTTATATACTATACTTAAAGGAAGTCAATAATAATAATAAGAAGAAGAAGAATAAGAATAATAATTAAAAGTGCATTTATAATGCGCCAGATTCCAATCACCAAGTGGATGCTCATAGCGCTACACTATTATTACCCCGGTCAGTGGATCAGTGAGCACTCGATTTTCATTCTCAGCTCCCTGGGGAGTATACACCCCAATAAAACAATCCATGTTATCATATCACTGTTGTTAATCTGTCATAGCTGGTGGGTATAGCCGCACACGGCGTTTCAATTGTGGATGTTCTTGTTTTGAGTAGTACACATTGATAGAGTATGCATATTATTACACAATTAGTTTTGTCTTGATGTAATTGGTTGGTTGTAGGTAATATTCACTTTACCGCTGTCCGGGTTTGGATTGATCCCCAGCTACCTACATGTATGTTGATCGCAAGAAACGAGCTACCCATGCTTGTCGTAAGATACCCATAACGGGATCGGGTGGTCAGGCTCGCTGACTTGGTTGATGCACGTCGTTGTACCCAAATTGCGTATATCGATGATCATGATGTTAATCACTGGATTATCTGCTCAAAACTCGATTATTTACAGACCGCCGTCACACAGATGGAATATTGCTGCGTGCTGTGTTATCAACAAACAAACAAACGAACGTAAGATGCGACCAAATTGATTTGGTAGTCAGGTTCGGTGACTTGGCTGATGACGTGGCACCGTACCACGACGGCGTGCTCACAGTATCAATCACTGGATTGTCTGGTCCAGATTCGATTATTTTCAGGCTGGAATATTGCTGAGTGCGGGGTTAAACAACATGAACCAGCGATTTCAAAACTGCCTTTTCAGTATTAACAAAGACCAGAGCAGCTACTGCACAGTGCGGAGGTAAACAACAAACAAATAAACTGTCATAGTGGATGAACTAACCAACCGCCAATGGAATGTTTTCTTTGCTGAGTTGGGATAACGCTGCTTTTAACAGTATTCAAGTTATACAGCTTAATGTGGGAGGAAAGCCTGAAGTGATAGAGGTCTCAGACGTTTACCATTTCGGTGAAACCCACTAGCACGGGTATGGTGCTGATAAACCTGGAAACACAATTGGGGTGAACATGGATTCGAACCCACAATCATAGGTTTCTGACGTGCCCAAGGGACGCAACTCTGCACAGCGAATCGCGGCGCCTCAGACGACAGGGCCACCCGTGCCCCCTTCTCACATGCGTCACCCCTCGCCCCTTTCGGTAACCTGCAAGAAGACTCTTCCCCCTGTCGATGAATGTTATGTGCAAAAATACGACAAACCAATCAGAATGCGCGTATGATTTTAAGTTCGTCGTCAAAGAATCCCTCAGAAATAATTTTACATATGTCTTGCATTTAAAATATACCCAAGGCACAGTTAAATGTGTTCAATCATACAGTATAATTCCACATGTCTCAATGTGCTTTAAATTGCATGTGAACTATATATAATACATGGAAAATAATATGTGAACCATTACGCAACGAGTTGACAAGTGTTTTGGGTATGCCCGTTTGCGCTAAGACGGAACCCGGTCGCAAAAATGGCCATGAGAGGGGCACGAGTCGCATTCGGCTTGTCCCGGAATAAAACGAGTTGGTCACGAATGCCCTTCTCATTGCTGAATGTAAATCGAGGGAGGAAGAACGTGTAATTACCTTCACAGTGGGCGACCCGAACACAATAGGCACAGTCCCCGCTATCAGTGGGCGCCACAGTTTCTCCGTTATGTAATCATGACACACGGCGTTTTCGAAGGCAAACGCGAACTTGTACTGTGCGACGAATCTGTAAAACTCGGGGGCAAGCATCCCGGCCATGTTGCCAATGATGGTACTGTAAAGAAAAATATATAAGTCTTATGAGAACAGTTCCAAATTATAACACACCAAGTTTACACGTAAACATTGCTTTTGATATATCAGGTTTCTAATACAGAGCAGGTGCACAGTGTTGGGTGATTTCGTTTGTTTGTTTGTTTGTTTGTTTGTTTGTTTTGTCTGTCTGCCTGTCTTGTTTGTTGGATTTTAACGCCGCACTCAGCAAAATTCCAGCTATATGACGGCGGTCTTTAAATAATCGAATCAGGACCAGAGAATTCAGTTATTGATATCCCGAGCCTGACCACCCGGTCCCGTTAGTCGCCTTTCACGGTAACCATGGTTACCCTAAAGTTCCGGGGTAGAATAGGTCTTCAGCAACCCATGCTTGCCGTAAGAGGCGACTAACGGGATCGGATGTCCTAGAAACATAATCGGGGCGAAACGGGATTCGAACCCTCAATCAAAGGTTTCTGGCGTGCCCAAGGGACGCCACTCTGCACAATGACTTGCGGGGCCACCCTAGTCCCCTCTCTAAGTCCAGAATCGAAGGTTCCAATAACCGTTGTCCTAATATCTTACATCAAAAGTCATGTACTGTCGCTCGGGCATACTTGAAATAACGCAACTCCAGATCACCACGAGACTGTCCCTTGATGGAAACAGCTGTTATAATATAAGGGTAACGTTTTTTTCAGGGCATTATCATTTGCAGAAGCCCGAGGTCTTCCATTAACTGCCCGACGAAGGAGGGCAGTTGAAAAGACCGAGGGCTTCTGCAAATGATAATGCCCTGAAAAATAGAGTTACCGTTATTATAGCTAAAATGGATGGACTTTTTTATCAAATAAAAAGAAACAACAATGTCGATTTTGAAACATTTACTGCAATCAACACGAATGTCACTGACCCCCTTTTACAAATATGGAAACGTCATAGAGCAACCCAGATGACGTCACTATTGAACGTTACGTCACCTATCCCTATCCTATGACGTCACCTAACAACGGGCGTGATAATGGCCCGTCGTCAAGTAATATGAGGGCATTATCTAGTTACAGTGGCCCGCTCATTTCTGATAACATGCGGGCGTTTTTATGATAATTCTATCCATTTTAGCTATAACGATGAATACACTACTTTTGCTGTGGGGGCCCCCACGGCAGTGCGGTAATATTACATGATTCATTTACTAACCTGTTTGGAAAATCTTTGTTATGTTCACAGGGTCCGTAAGAATCAACTGGAACATATTTCTGTAACATTTTCATGTACTTCGATCTATCAGACGGCGTCCAACAATCAGTGTGAACAAATATAATTGGCGCTAGTCCTTCTTTCCTCAGCCTTGTCTTCTCTGACGTCCGCACTAAATAGGTTACGTCAATCAAATTGTCAATATCTGCTAACCACTGTGTTGGAAACGGACAGTGACTTTCTCTTCGGAAGGTCGAGGTGTAGTTGAAAAGGGAGATAACATCATCTTGGCTCATAAGCCATTCATTATTTTTAGGCGATTCGTTCATAAACAGACCCCATATATGCCCACGTTGTCTTGGAAATGGAAATCCCGTCTCTCCAAAGCTAGTACCATCAAAAATATATGCCTGAAATTATCAAAGGTAGTACAATGATAATTGACCGAGCACTGCTCACATGAATGTTTTTGATGATTATCAAGTTATGATAATTACATACGCAAGTATTCAGCCAGAGAATGTATTTCAACAATTATTTGGAGAGGTTATGCGTTTATATAATTTCAGTTATACCGCCGCCTGTCAGCTTAGTCTATAAGGAAAGTCGGCGAAGCAGATCTTAAATGCGTACAACTTTCGTAAAACCAACGAGTACATGTATAGGCTAGGATCAGAGTCTGGACGCTTCTGGGATTCGAACCCACGATAAGTGGACCATGACCCTTATAAAAGACATTTGGGCCATCCGTGACCACAGTTACTTGTAGAACAACATTTAAGACTGTTAGGAAATATACGCTATACTGGAGAAAACCAGTCTTTAGAGTGAGTGAGTTAGTTCACATTTTACATTTACAAAGAAGTAAATGTGAATGCACGTCTAAAGATAAAGCTAGATAAAGTTTGATAACTGGTGAAAATTGATATCCTCGATTTAGTGTTCAGGTCCAAAATAAAATTCTATCAATTCCATTCTGCCACACCGAATTAACGTTTGCTATACCATGTGACTTTGTTCCGTCATCCGGGCTCTGTTGGCAGTGACCTGGCACGTGCAGTTCCCACATGTCGTATGTCGGTCAATGTTACCCATAGGGTCCCACCACAGGATTACTGGATTTTTGTCTGAAACAATTTTCCAGTTTATCTAAATTAATTTAATTTAGTTTGAATCGATCTGAATGGAATCAGTTATAGTTGTATCAATAATAACATGTATATGTTTGGAGGGAGTGAGTGAGTGTTCCGGTTTCATAGCGGCGGGGAACACCAGGAATGGGTCTTACACATTTTACCCATGAGACCAACCAAAACTCGGATGCCACACGACCGTCCACACCTTTATAGAACAAATCTTTAATGAATTGGCATAATTCAAATCAGAATTACGAAAATAACGTTCTTGTTAATATCATTAGTGCAGTTTCTATAGCATTTTCTTTAGGATAAACAACTTCTCAAAACCTATAATTACGAAATAACGTTCGTGTTAATATTATTAGTGCAGTTTCTATAGCATTTACTTCAGAATAAACAACTTCTTCTCAAAACCTATAATTACGAAATAACGTTCGTGTTAATATTATTAGTGCAGTTTCTATAGCATTTACTTCAGAATAAACAACTTCTTCTCAAAACCTATAATTACGAAAATACCGTTCGTGTTAATATTATTAGTGCAGTTCTATAGCATTTACTTCAGGATAAACAACTTCTCAAAACCTATAATTACGAAAATAACGTTCGTGTTAATATTATAAGTACAGTTTCTATAGGATTTACATCAGAATAAACAACTTCTCCTCAAAACCTATAATTACGAAAATAACGTTCGTGTTAATTTTATTATTGCAGTTTCTATAGCATTTACTTCAGAATAAACAACTTCTTCTCAAAACCTATAATTACGAAATAACGTTCGTGTTAATATTATTAGTGCAGTTTCTATAGCATTTACTTCAGAATAAACAACTTCTCAAAACCTATAATTACGAAAATAACGTTCGTGTTAATATTATAAGTACAGTTTCTATAGGATTTACATCAGAATAAACAACTTCTCAAAACCTATAATTAAGTAAATAACGTTCGTGTTAATATTATTATTGCAGTTTCTATAGCATTTACTTCAGAATAAACAACTTCTTCTCAAAACCTATAATTACGAAAATACCGTTCGTGTTAATATTATTAGTGCAGTTCTATAGCATTTACTTCAGGATAAACAACTTCTCAAAACCTATAATTACGAAAATAACGTTCGTGTTAATATTATAAGTACAGTTTCTATAGGATTTACATCAGAATAAACAACTTCTCCTCAAAACCTATAATTACGAAAATAACGTTCGTGTTAATTTTATTATTGCAGTTTCTATAGCATTTACTTCAGAATAAACAACTTCTTCTCAAAACCTATAATTACGAAATAACGTTCGTGTTAATATTATTAGTGCAGTTTCTATAGCATTTACTTCAGAATAAACAACTTCTCAAAACCTATAATTACGAAAATAACGTTCGTGTTAATATTATAAGTACAGTTTCTATAGGATTTACATCAGAATAAACAACTTCTCAAAACCTATAATTAAGTAAATAACGTTCGTGTTAATATTATTATTGCAGTTTCTATAGCATTTACTTCAGAATAAACAACTTCTTCTCAAAACCTATAATTACGAAAATACCGTTCGTGTTAATATTATTAGTGCAGTTCTATAGCATTTACTTCAGGATAAACAACTTCTCAAAACCTATAATTACGAAAATAACGTTCGTGTTAATATTATAAGTACAGTTTCTATAGGATTTACATCAGAATAAACAACTTCTCCTCAAAACCTATAATTACGAAAATAACGTTCGTGTTAATTTTATTATTGCAGTTTCTATAGCATTTACTTCAGAATAAACAACTTCTTCTCAAAACCTATAATTACGAAATAACGTTCGTGTTAATATTATTAGTGCAGTTTCTATAGCATTTACTTCAGAATAAACAACTTCTCAAAACCTATAATTACGAAAATAACGTTCGTGTTAATATTATTAGTGCAGTTTCTATAGCATTTACTTCAGGATAAACAACTTCTCAAAACCTATAATTACGAAAATAACGTTCGTGTTAATATTATAAGTACAGTTTCTATAGGATTTACATCATAATAAACAACTTCTCCTCAAAACCTATAATTACGAAAATAACGTTCGTTTTAATATTATAAGTGCAGTTTCTACAGCATTTACTTCAGAATAAACAACTTCTTCTCAAAACCTATAATTACGAAAATAACGTTCGTGTTAATATTATTAGTGCAGTTTCTATAGCATTTACTTCAGAATAAACAACTTCTCAAAACATAATTACGAAAATAACGTACGTGTTAATATTATGAGGGCAGTTTCTATAGCATTTACTTCAGAATAAACAACTTCTTCTCAAAACCTATAATTACGAAAATAACGTTCGTGTTAATATTATAAGTACAGTTTCTATAGCATTTACATCAGAATAAACAACCTCTCAAAACCTATAATTACGAAAATAACGTTCATTTAATATTATAAGTGCAGTTTCTACAGCATTTACTTCAGAATAAACAACTTCTCAAAACCTATAATTACGAAAATAACGTTTGGGTTAATATTATTAGTGCAGTTTCTATAGCATTTACATCAGAATAAACAACTTCTCAAAACATAATTACGAAAATAACGTTCGTGTTAATATTATGAGGGCAGTTTCTATAGCATTTACATCAGAATAAACAACTTCTTCTCAAAACCTATAATTACGAAAATAACGTTCGTGTGAATTATCTATGTAGTTTCAATGGCATTTGCTTCAGAATATACATAACAAGAATAACATGTCGATGTTGTGCCTGCGGTCCTTTCTTTATTACATTTCTCTATATACCGATGCGGTAGAGAGACTTTAAGTACTATGTCCTGTTATAAAGAGCATGTTGCACAACGTTATGAGATTACGTACCACTGTGTGCACTTGCGCCGCTCAGCATTGTAATCATGCAGACTGCTAGACGAAGTTGTCTCGGGGACACAAACATGGCTCTGGTCCTGAAGACACAACCACACCAGCAGCATAGAAATAGGTTATGTTGTTCATTGTTAAGATCTAGATCATATATCAAACCAGCATTTAGGCTTATCCCACAATCGACAGCCATAATGCATAGTGTAGCATCTGGATGTCAATTGGATCAACGCCCAAATTCGAATTTGATTTATAGCAGGGTGTGTTAGTTTATGATGATGCTTGCACTTGGGTCGATTGTTGTTATTATAGCTGTAGCACGGTCCAACAGTTGCATTTGTATAGAGATTAAGCGTTTATTGCAAAGCTGCTTTGCCTTATCCCTCGCGCTTGGGGATGAGTCATAATATACCCTACATGTTGAGGTGCGGGACTAGACTAACTTTAAGTCTCAGAAATTATTTTATATAAAAATATTTATCTTCAAAATCCAAATGGAGCTTAGAGCATGTTTAATTTCAGGCTAGACTTGCCCAATCATTCTAGACCTGAGTTGGACACGTGTTTAAATTTATTCTGTACGGTCCGGGAGACAGGCTAGTGCGGGGCCCCATCACCATATAACGTTAGGCGGTGTGTGGTGTTGGTCCTTGAAAACTAGGTTCACATGAAAACTGTGATATGTCGATATTGATGAAGTATATAATCAATAAACGATATGAATGAGGATAGATTGTATGGATAAGATGGTCATAATTGATAACGGTATAAGGATCTGTCGAGAAACGTTACTGGTGCAGTATAATAGGGAAGTGGTTGTCCATAGATTGTGAGGTGAGATGAATTGGGGTTTATCGTCGCGTTATTATTGCACTTATATAGCGACGTGCATGCACGTGAGTGTTTGTGTGTGTGGCTGCTTGTACTAGTCCGGACTGATGCCGATTTATAGTGCTAGCTTACTGAGATACCATGTCGCAGTTTAACATGAATACCCCACTCAGACACAGTATACTGACTCCGAGCCGACCAATCCTTGTTTTAGCCCCTTAATGCCGAGCGCCAGACAGGGTAACACCAAGTACCTTCTTTTAACGTCATTTGGTATGACGCGGCCGGGGATCAAACTCGTATCGCTCTCCGGGCGGACGCTCTACCTAAGACCACGGAGGCGATGTCCATGAATTGTATTAACTTTTTTTACATTTTTACTTTATATTTTACATAAGTGTTGCTAATAATGAAAGACGATAAAAATAAGGATAGCTGATATGGATAAGGATGAATTTATTGATGACGGATATATGGTATGGATATTGTACACTACAGCACTAGGGACTGATTATATGGATTATATAAAGATGATATGCATACGGATGGAAGATATGGATTGTGATGGGTTATACTGATAAGGATACCTAATGCGGGTAGGAAAAGATTATCTGGGTAAGGGTATGATATTCATATGATTTTAAATCAACTATATATATAATGAGAGATGAAAAATATAACGAGAGGTGTTATGAATAAGGATAACTTATACGAATGATGGCCGAATATATAAAAGGGATACGCAGAGGGATAGGTGATATGGATAAGGATAAACTATATGGATAAGGATAGATGACTGGATAAGGTGCTGTGATATGAATAACGTTATATAATGTACACAGCATGGGTTATAACGAAGACAAGCCTCACACGTTGTTTGTAATATCTCATCGGAAGGTATATATGTTTAGCGTGGGAAAGATGTAATTGGATGTTAGATGTCGTGTTGATGGTATGTCACGAATAGGACTGGGGGAAACACACACAAAAAGCCGTTAGGGAGGTTTGGTTGAGTGACTTTGTAAGTGCATGTAGTATATGGATTTCAAACGGACGACGGTTCATTACATGTGAACAGGTAATTGCTTGCGTTCAATTCACATAGAAAATGTATATGCACGGTGACGGTGTCAGGTCTGTTGGGACTGGTGGGGGATGGGGGTGGTTGGTGGGGGTGTATTGTTGGAGGGGGGTGGGGGTGTATTGTTGGAGGGGGTGGGGGTGTATTGTTGGATGGGGGTGGGGGTGTATTGTAGGAGGGGGTGGGGTGTATTGTAGGAGGGGGGTGGGGTGTATTGTAGGAGGGGGGTGGGGTTGTATTGTTGGAGGGGGTAGGGGGTGTATTGTTGGAGGGGGGATGGGGGTGGTTGGTGGGGGTGTATTGTAGGAGGGGGGGGTATTGTTGGGGGGGGGGGGGGGGGTATTCCAAGGACATGGGGAGAAAATACCAGAAACGTTATCCATATCAAAAAGACTACATACATGTTTGGATACATTTTTAAAATGTATTGAAATGAGAAGGAAAACATTGACAGACGACCAACTGACATACACACGGACCGAAATGGGCATAGAGGACTGTGAGTTGTAAATCCTCCAACTACAGAGTAATCGTCAATAACAATCGTCAACAACAATAAAATTCAGCATACATACCCCCTGACGTCAGACACCTCACGTCGGAGCACAGTAACATCCAGTTACATCCTTACACAACACGCTACGGCGGAGGCCTGTGTAATAAATATCTACATCAAACAACTCAGTAGAAACGTGGAGAACAGACGTCCCTTGTTGACAACACACACACACACACACAGGCCGAGTGTGTCCCAGTGCCCGATCAAGTGTGACGGGGTAGTTTAAACCGGGGTGTCCCCATGGGATTGTTGCACAAAGAGGAAGTGTGTCCCCCCGGGGTGGCAGTTGTCAGGGCACGTTGTATTCACTTGTTCATGGAGTTAATATGTCCCCTTTGGCGATTGTGTTTACCAATTACCTATGCTATTTTTCACGGTTTGTTTTGTAACTTTACCCTTACCACACATGCAAACAGACGAATACCTTGAAACCCTTTTCTCTAAAAATCATGAACAGTAAACGATATAAACTGCCGGGCAAAAGAAAGTATACAGTTGAAAATTGGATTTGACCGAAAATTAAAAATTTATCAAAATGTTACCAGGCTGTAAACGGTCGCCGAAACACTGCAAACTTAAGTTCTAAAACTATAATGCCCGTCTCAAACACATCACCATCGAATAACCTTTTTTTTGTTTCGTTTCAGCCATCATCCGACATAGGTGTGTACCTTCTTTTGCACGGCAGTGTATATGATTTTAGAATATTATTGAAGCACGATTTTCTCACCTTTTGGATGTCATAGTGTCCTATATTTAACGGTGAATAGTACACAATTCACTCTTTCAGTAAGAACGCAGAATGATATATTTTTTGGATATATATCCTCAGAATTTTTCAAATTCGTTTTCAAAATAGCCACACAAGTCCTTTTATTAACGATGTTTATGAGCAAATGTATTATATATTATTCGAACGGATTTTGAATAAACCCATTCTCCTTTATGACAATGGCCTTCTGTTTGCCTGCATGGAAGTGGATTCTTTTGTTACAGCATATACAAGTCCACCCATGAAGCCCAGTCAGTACGAAGTCCCCCAACAAAAGAGTGTTATTCCATCCAGCGGGGAGTGAGTGGATATCAACGCCGTGGCTATAACGACCTCAGCCATGCGGTAAATTACGTGTTAAAATCTCCTTTGGAGGAAGGTTGTGTTTATATATATTCATGAAAAAATGACACTCGGATTTAAACGGGATGTTGGTTTATCATAAACAAGCACCATGTTGTTAATTCTTTTGTTCAAATCTGTAGGCCACAGTTGACTTCAGTTGTTGAGGTTATAAAGGCACCACTGATGCGATTGTCAAGATAAACTGGGACTGGCTTGGTTGTATTTGTATTCTTTTCAGTTCAAAATATCAGTTTAATTGTATCTCATGGCATTTCCACTCAGGGCTGAACGCTATAATCAGTTGCCGACATGGTACTTCACTCACAAGGGCTGTATCGTGATACTTAGTTGCCGACATGGTACTTCATTCACAAGGGCTGTATGTGATAGTCAGTTGCCGACATGGTACTTCACTCACAAGGGCTGCATCGTGATACTCAGTTGCCGACATGGTACTTCACTCACAAGCGTTGTATCGTGATACTTAGGTGCCGACATGGTACTACACTCACAAGGGCTGTATCGTGATACTCAGTAGCCGACATGGCACTTCACTCACAAGGGCTATATCGTGATACTTAGTTGCCGACATGGTACTTCACTCACAAGGGTTTTATAGTGATACTTAGTTACCGACATGGTACTTCACTCACAATGGTTTTATAGTGATACTTAGTTGCCGACATGGTACTTCACTCACAAGCGTTGTATCGTGATACTTAAATGCCGACATGGTACTTCACTCACAAGGGTTTTATAGTGATACTTAGTTGCCGACATGGTACTTCACTCACAATGGTTTTATAGTGATACTTAGTTGCCGACATAGTACTTCACTCACAATGGTTTTATAGTGATACTTAGTTACCGACATGGTACTTCAATCACAATGGTTTTATAGTGATACTTAATTGCCGACATGGTACTTCACTCACAATGGTTTTATAGTGATACTTAGTTACCGACATGGTACTTCACTCACAATGGTTTTATAGTGATACTTAGTTGCCGACATGGTACTTCACTCACAAGGGTTTTATAGTGATACTTAGTTGCCGACATGGTTCTTCACTCACAAGGGTTTTATAGTGATACTTAGGTGCCGACATGGTACTTCACACACAAGGGCTGTATCGTGATACTCAGTTGCCGACATGGTACTTCACTCACAAGGGTTTTATAGTGATACTTAGTTGCCGACATGGTACTTCACTCACAATGGTTTTATAGTGATACTTAGTTGCCGACATGGTACTTCACTCACAAGGGTTTTATAGTGATACTTAGTTGCCGACATGGTACTTCACTCACAAGGGCTGTATCGTGATACTTAGTTGCCGACATGGTACTTCACTCACAAGGGTTTTATAGTGATACTTAGTTGCCGACATGGTACTTCACTCACAATGGTTTTATAGTGATACTTAGGTGCCAAGATGGTACTTCAGTCACAAGGGTTTTATAGTGATACTTAGTTGCCGACATGGTACTTCACGCACAATGGTTTGATAGTGATACTTAGTTGCCGACATGGTACTTCACTCACAAGGGCTGTATCGTGATACTTAGTTGCCGACATGGTTTTCACACACAAGGGTTTTATAGTGATACTTAGTTGCCGACATGGTACTTCACTCACAAGGTCTGTATCGTGATACTTAGTTGCCGACATGGTACTTCACTCACAAGGGTTTTAAAGTGATACTTAGTTGCCGACATGGTACTTCACACACAAGGGCTGTATCGTGATACTTAGTTGCCGACATTGTACTTCACTCACAAGGGTTTTATAGTGATACTTAGGTGCCGAGATGGTACTACACTCACAAGGGCTGTATCGTGATACTTAGTTGCCGACATGGTACTTCACTCACAAGGGTTTTAAAGTGATACTTAGTTGCCGACATGGTACTTCACACACAAGGGCTGTATCGTGATACTTAGTTGCCGACATTGTACTTCACTCACAAGGGTTTTATAGTGATGCTTAGGTGCCGAGATGGTACTACACTCACAAGGGCTGTATCGTGATACTTAGTTGCCGACATGGTACTTCACTCACAAGGGTTTTATAGTGATACTTAGGTGCCGACATGGTACTACACTCACAAGGGCTGTATCGTGATACTCAGTTGCTGACATGGTACTTCACTCACAAGGGCTGTATCGTGATACTTAGTTGCCGACATGGTACTTCACTCACAAGGGTTTTATAGTGATACTTAGTTGCCGACATGGTACTTCACTCACAAGGGTTTTATAGTGATACTTAGTTGCCGACATGGTACTTCACTCACAAGGGTTTTATAGTGATACTTAGTTGCCGACATGGTACTTCACTCACAAGGGCTGTATCGTGATACTTAGTTGCCGACATGGTACTTCACTCACAAGGGTTTTATAGTGATACTTAGTTGCCGACATGGTACTTCACACACAAGGGCTGTATCGTGATACTCAGTTGCTGACATGGTACTTCACACACAAGGGCTGTATCGTGATACTTAGTTGCCGACATTGTACTTCACCCACAAGGGCTGTATCGTGATACTCAGTTGCCGACATGGTACTTCACTCACAAGGGTTTTATAGTGATACTTAGGTGCCGAGATGGTACTTCACTCACAAGGGCTGTATCGTGATACTCAGTTGCCGACATGGTACTTCACTCACAAGGGCTGTATCGTGATACTTAGTTGCCGACATGGTACTTCACTCACAAGGGCTGTATCGTGATACTTAGTTGCCGACATGGTACTTCACTCACAAGGGCTGTATCGTGATACTCAGTTGCCGACATGGTACTTCACTCACAAGGGCTGTATCGTGATACTTAGTTGCCGACATGGTACTTCACTCACAAGGGCTGTATCGTGATACTCAGTTGCCGACATGGTACTTCACTCACAAGGGCTGTATCGTGATACTTAGTTGCCGACATGGTACTTCACTCACAAGGGCGGTATCGTGATACTCAGTTGCCGACATGGTACTTCACTCACAAGGGCTGTATCGTGATACTTAGTTTACCGACCTTGTATTTCGTGACCTTTGAGACAACTTTATAGGCAACCATATACCCAGACTCAGGTTTGTTAGATTTGATGATTTCATAGAGTTGTGGTTTTGTAGCCCTGGAAGGAAAGGTCATATTCCTCCGTTGAAAGCCAAGCTACCACATCTCCTTTAAGGCGATTAGACGTCGGGGCCTTGATGTCTAGGTCCTGCATACTGTGACTGTCTATGATTGACTGATGCATTGTCAGTGTTAATGAGGGACTTGGTAGGCAAAGCAGCGACCAATTTATTTTTCACCCACTCCAGAAATACTTTGCCGTTCGTTTCTGTGTGGTAGTCCCCGTTGTCCATGGCTTTCACTCGAATGACGAGGTCACAGCCTGGGAGAACACCTTGACCAGCACAGCCAACGTGGACAACGAAAGTCTTTCACTTTTTCCTAGTGGTAATTTTCTCCCAGATTCCTTACATCCCCACCGGGTACCCACTGACTGCTGGCTGTGTGAGAGGCATTAACCCATGTCTCATCTGGGAAAACAGGCTCATATCTTTCTTCACGTTTCATTTTCATGGTTCGCAGATAGTGATTTCGGAGACGAAGGATGTCAGATCGTTCACATAACACAGCCCCATTTTAACCACTTATCTTTTTGTATCTGTATCCAAATGTATGCAAAAGTTGACAACTTGTATTTTGTAACAATTAAATCATGTTCAGTTTCAGGGTATTTCTTCCAGAGTCTTAGTGACATGTACTTATTTTCTAAATGCAGTTTAACAATTGCACGTCAGACTTGACTTTTCTGGAAACTGTCTAAGTTATCAACCCTACATGGTTTTGAGATGTTCCCCGCCTGATTTGCCTTATTGCTAGTCCCGTCGGCGGACATTTTTTCAGCTTGTTAGGAGACACACCAAGTTCTTTAGAAGATAGTTTCAAGTATTTATTAACGACATAAAATGGTTTTCCTCTTTCTGCCTCACATGCAGTACATGCAGTAGCACGTGCAGTACGTTTTTGCGCTGTTCCTTTTACCGTTGTTCCCCCCTCCGTTCAAGATGTGCACTTGTACACGTAACAACATGATAGTTTCTTGAACAACTTTTTCCAATGATGGGAATAAAAATAACAAACAGCAGATATTGTTGGGTACAGGGTATTAAATGTCGTGTACCGTTGAGATTTAATAAACTATTCCCGATTTTGATTTATTTTGTAATTTATGGTTCTCATTTGGAGCCAAATGGCCCGTTCGTACGTATTGACATTAAAGCGGATACTTTAGTCCATACCTTATCAGTAATGAAGGCCACATTAGCAGGGGTATTGTCTTTATTGCATTCCACACTGTCAGATTTGAAACATTCAGCTACTCGACCTCTTAAAGATAGTATTCTTGGCTATAAAACTGGTATTGCAGATACGACAATCACGTCATGTTTTAGAGATGAGTCGGACACTGTTCATGCGTTATGTGTAAAGATGAAAATTTAAAAAAACTAGCATTGTCTCATCACCTGTATTATTGTATATGCCTAGGATAGAAAATCAAATTGTTCGTCGCGTTTGAGTGCAGGGTGTTGGACTTTTGGTTTTTTCGACCAAAATTGAAAAATCGTCGTACGGGTCTCAGACTTTGCAGGACGCTTCTTTAGGTCACCTGACCGACCGTAACCAAAGATTTTTCGATTTGGAGCATGTGTTAGGGTTAGCATGGCCCATAGCTCCGCCCACAGAGGTCATTTCGGGTCAAGGAAGGTGAAAACGTGGCCTCAGGGTCAAGGTCTACCCGCATGCAAAGTTTCAATGCGCTGCGACATCTTTCACATCCGAGTCGCGTTTGAGTGCAGGGTGTTGTTGGAAAGTCTAAACAGTGTTATCTTCAACGGGCGAGTAATACAATTAAATCCATTATCCTTTTACAATTGAAATGCAGTTCTTTTACCAACGTACACGAACATGCTTAGTGATCTTGTGCTCGTAGGATAATTACAGCATCGTTGGAGCACCTCGATGTTTGAAGAAAACAAAATATTTTGTTTCAATATATTTTAATCTGTTTATTTCAATTACATTCTTTTCTTGAAATTCAAGGTCAAACTGAGACTAAGGTGTGTCCACTTCCCGACTAAATCTAAACATTCAAGCAACAAAGGCTTATCAACAATTCAAACAGTGAGTGAGTGAGTGAGATGGGTTTAACGCCGTTTTTAAGAGTATTCCAGTTATATCGCGGCGCGTCAGCTTAATGTGGGAGAAAAGCGCGAAGTGATGCAGGTCTCAGACGTTGACCACTTCGGTGAAACCCACGGGTATGGTGCTGACAAACCTAGAAACATAATCGGGGCGAACCGGGAATCGAACCCACAATCATAGGTGCCCAAGGGACGCAACTCTGTACAGCGAATCGCGGCGCCTTAGACGACTGGGCCAAATCCAAGCAATCTCAAATCGAATACGTTCAAGACAAATTATATCAGGCAGTTTGAGAAACATTACTGAAGAAGAAAGGACTTGTGGTTCCCCAGCAAGTTTTGATGAAGTTAGTTTAATTTACTGAAAATCAATGATATCCCTAGTATGTTGCCCTGACACTTTAAACGTTTATTATAATTTTATTCAACACATTGAATAAGTTACCTGCATTTACCTCTTGTCATTATAAGATAATTGAACTAAATGTTTCTTGCGAAAAAATATTTTTAAGCAATATCAGTTCTTGTACCATCATTGGTGGTTTATGAAGAAATAGTGAGTAAGTTGGGGTTAACGCCGCTTTTAACAGTAGTCCAGTTATATCACGGCGTGTCAGCCCGAAGTGATGCAGGTCTCAGACGTTTACCACTTCGGTGAAAGCCACGAGCACGTAACCTAGAAACATAATCTGGGCGAACCGGGATTCGAACCCACAATGAAAGGTTTCTGGCGTGCCCAAGGGACGCAACTCTGAACAGCGAATAGTGGCGCCTTAGACGACTGGGCCAACCGTGCCCCCTTATGGAGAAATAACGATATTGAAATAGTGTTGATTAGCATGTGTCACTGCGTAAGTTGGATAATCAACTGCTAGATTAATCTATATCAAATATTTGATACTTAGTTGGTGGGACTTGAATCCCACCTGCTTGGACTGCCAGTTTTCAAGGGCCCAGCTCCCCTTTAAACGGCACATTTGGCTCAGTAGAACATGGTCCTAATGTCTGGCTATGGTGTTTTCGATCCAGTCGAGGTACGAACTGAGCTTCGTGTACAGCCCTGGGTATTCCGCTTTGCCACAGTTGTAGCCAGTAGAGACGACAGCTCCCTCGTGCCACTCGTTGTCATAGTAACACGCCAGTGGTCCACCAGAATCACCCTGAGAAAAAAAAGAAAAAGGTACTTTACTGACAGGTCAACCATGCCAACCAATGAGATGTTGACAGTGTCGTTGGTTGGTTGGTTGGTTGGTTGGTTGGTTGGTTGGTTGTTTTACGCCGCACTCAGCAATATTCCAGCTATATGACGGCGGTCTGTAAATAATCGAGTCTGGACCAGATAATCCAGTGATTGATATCAGGAGCATCGATCCACGCAATTGGGATCGATGACATGACAGTGTTGTAACTGCGTTAGGGCGTCAAGGCGGGGGGGGGGGGGGGGGGTGCTACAAACGTTACCTAAACGTATTGCCGTTCCGTGACGTCATGGTCAGTTAATCCATGACTGTGCAACCCGCCCGGTCATCGGAGTTTCTCAAGGTCTAACGTTACTCACAACCATAGATTTTCATGAACAATATCTACCATGAATTCTTGTTTGTGTCGTGATCGGAAAACTACCGGAGTGAATGAGTTGGGTTTAACGCCGCTTTTAACAGTATTCCAGTTATATTACGGCGTGTCAGCTTGATGTGGGAGGAAGCCCGAAGTGATGCAGGTCTCAGACGTTTACCACTTCGGTGAAACCCACGAGCACGGGTTTGGTGCTGACAAAACCTAGAAACATAATCGGGGCGAACCTGGATTCGAACCCACACTCATAGGTTTCTGGCGTGCCCAAGGGACGCAACTTTGCACAGCGAATCGCGCCGCCTTAGACGACTGGGCCACCCGTGCCCCGAAAACTATCATAACCTATTAACCGATTAAAGATCTCTATTGACCCAATGGTGACAACAGCACCGAAGCAATCCCGAAAATATTCTGTAAATGTCATCACTCTATTGAATTCCTACATGTTTGCGCCAACTCGGTGGTTTTCCGTCTCCCTCGTATTAAAGCTATTACCACCAATTTAAAGGTTGAGTTTGTTATACTTTTCTGAGGTTTTGGGGATGTATTTCTACCTTATAACAATAGATACACGTTCACCTGGTTGATAATGGGTACCCGATGAAATGGGTAGCGGTGGCAATTATATTTCCCATGGAGTTGAGAATGAAATATGAATGAAATATGAACATAGATTCGTTATCTCTAATAATAACATGTTATGTTTATAAAAGGTATTATATTTTATTTACGTTACGTTTGTGATATAACTAATCTGTTCAAGGCAGCGTTAAACCCAACTCATTCACTCACTCACCTCACCCACAGTAATTTATATTCACTTTACGATATTGATATTTTGCTGTTAATTTCTCACCAAACAAGCATCCCGGCCTCCCGAGGGGCTGCCAGCACAGATGACAGAGTCTTCCTCTGGGGCGTAGAAAGCTTTGTCCGGGTCATCATCTGGTACGGCAGCATATCCCCTACTACACCGGTCCTGCTCAATGACTGTGATGTTCACCCTCAGAGGAATGTACATGCTCCATCCGAGGGGCCCTGTAAAGGTGGATGTTTTGTACGTATTAATTGTAAAGTATACACTGAAAACATTATAACAATCAACAGACTTCACTCAACCAGCCGTATACTACCGGTAGAATTTAAGAAAACAAGTTGCTTTCATTCCAGTCGACTCATACTCGAACTCAACGGATGTCGGGAACATTAACGTGGCAGACCCTGTATCGTGGGTGTAGTGTTCACTTTGTGATTTGGGTCACACATGCACACACATACACAGTGGTACACCTCCCAATCTTAGCGTGATTCCCTCTCCGTGTACCAGTGGATAGAGTGTATAGTGAGACAGCGAAAGGTCGGTGATTTGATCCCCGGCCGCGTCATACCAAATACGTTAACAGATTATACTTGTTGTTACCCTGTCTGGCGCTCGGCATTAAGGGGCTAAAACAAGGACTGGTCGGCTCGGAGTCAGTATACTGTGTCTTAGTGGGTTATCCATGTTAAACTGCGGCATGGTATCTCAGTGGGCTAGCACTATAAAACAAGTCCGGAAACCCCATTTCACCTCACCACTTAATATAAGCTCTAGAATTGTAAAGATTGTCCGGGTTTTAAACCGAACAGATTTCTTTCCTTGCCTAAATTTTGCCGCCAAACTGTGACTTCCGTTTTAGGTTTGTTTACGCCTCCTCCCATTGTGCGTTTCGGATATCATTGAAAGCACCCGTAACATCTGTTGCACAAAAGCAGGGATTCTCTCCAGTTCACAACATTAGTCCCCAGAATAAAGTCATTTTTAAGGGTCAATAAAATCATTCTCCAAAGTGACTTTAGTTCAGAGCTTAAGTAAGGGATGAGGTGAGAAGGGGGCGGGTATGGAATAGGGGATGGGTGATGGTGGCATTAAGAAATATTTATTAAACAGGATCTAAGGCCTAAAAGAGAGAATACCTCTTCTTACAGTACCGCTAAAACTTTCGCGGAAATGGTCAGGAATGAAATATAACAAATGTTATGTTTGGGATAACACTTTGTTAGTAAAGTACAGATTCTATTAGGTTTTGCGGTAGTGTCCCATCCGGGATTCGAACCCACACTGCCAGAGTGATAGTCGGCAGGACACAAAGTCAGCGATCTAACCCACTCAGCCACCGAGGCTTCCATGAAAAAAGGAAAGTCCGACAACTGGTAGTCTAGATCACGTTGTTTGTCATCTTCCCGTGACAAGAGAGTTAACTGACTTTTAAAGTCCAGTTTCCACCCCTTGCGAACTAGGCTGGAATTCCTGGGCTCGATCGTAGCGCCACCAGTTGCTATTACGAGTTATGTCCCTTCTAAGCCTTTTCTTTGGAACAATCAGATTCCCCTCTCGTATCACTTGCATTTGCGTCAAACAAAATGCCAAGTCAAGATGATCTGATCTATAATCAATATATATATTGTGTAATCAATATCTACATCGCGAAGCGCATTAAATAATGTGAGCACCTTGATTAAAAACATGAAAAGATTTGGAAAATATCTGTTGACAATGAATTGGTGGTGCACATGCTTTACAAATCCTGCAATCGACCGAAATCTGGGTGACAGTTTACGAACCGGATTTCGATTTCGGTGCGCGATTTTGATTGGACTATGCATAGACTCGTTAGTCCAGCAAAAATGTAACTCCATAATACCAGCCTAGTTCGGCAAGGGTGGAAACTGGACAATTATAGTCAGTTAACTCTCTTGCCTCGGGGTGATGGTACTTTGTGTACCCCTCTGACAAGTGTGAATTGGCACGGCGCCCATGGCCGAAAGCTATGAACACACAATGCCATGGGCTACATTTCAAACATTGGTATACGGCGTTACTAACTGTATGCTATCTGGCCCCAGCCAGCCACCGACACATTGGCCCCAACCTCTGAGCACCTCCCCTCCGTGTCCAGAGCGATGGGTTGGACGTGGGTGGAGAGGACGGCCGGACGTTTCAGCTTCAGGAGGGTCAGATCTCGCAGGAGAGGGCGGGCTGAAAAGATAAAAGAACCTGTTACCTGTAGTCGCCATTTTGTTTCCTTACAATCGTGACATCATGGAACGCAAGTCTAAAACTCATTTACAAAGAATAGATGAAGAGTGTGAAGATGGTTTGATTGGTGTTTGTACCTCACGAGCTTACTTGCCTCGTATAGACGGGTGCAAAGACGACGGGTTCACGACATTAAGATCTTAAAACATTTGTACATGCTGTGTGATATAATTAACCTGGTCAATGAAATCAACATAACAGTTACTGCTGCAGTCATTGTCAAGTTGCACAAATACTATATAATATACCACACAGATTTGTAATTTTAGGTCAAATCTAAGTTGAAAGTGTATACTGTGACCGTCTCCGTGGTCTTGTGGTAGAGCGTCCGCCCGGAGAGCGGAAGGTCCGGGGTTCGATCCCCGGCCGCGTCATACCAAAAGACGTTAAAAGTAACTTGTTGTTACCCTGTCTGGCGCTCGGCATTAAGGGGTTAAAACAAGGACTGGTCGGCTCGGAGTCAGTATACTGTGTATGAGTGGGATATTCATGTTAAACTGCGGCATGGTATCTCAGTGAGCTAGCACTATAAATCGGCATCAGTCCGGACTAGTACAAACAGCCACACCAACACACACACACGTACATGCACGTCGCTATTTAAGTGCAATAATCTTGGACGCGACGTTAAACCTCACCTCACCTCACCTCACCTCACCTCACCGTATACTGCATTTTGCCCGACAGTGTATGACAGGCATACAGGCCTGTGTAGTTTTTGCAGACCGCCGTCATATAGCTTGAATATTGCTGAGTGCGGCGTAAAACAACACACAACAATAAAACAACAGACCTGTGTAGTTCTGGTGCCGGAAGACTTTCCGTATCCTCATCCGTTGTTCCGTCCCCTCGTTCTTGTACTGGTTGTGTTCGCCGATCATGACGATCCAGTTGCTCTTCTTTTGCAGCCCGTCCCATTCTTCTCCACTGTCAATGTAGGAGATGCAAATGTCAAGAAATGCCCAGCACATACAAGGAACATGAGGTGAGGTGGTGAAATAGGGTTTAACGTCGCGTTCAAGATTATTGCACTTATATAGCGACGTGCATGCACACGCGCGTGTGTGTGTGTAGCTGCTTGAACTAGCCCGGACGAATGCTGATTTTATAGTGCTAGCCGAATGGGGTACCATGCCGCGGATTAACATGAATACCCCACTCAGACACAGTATACTGACTCCAAGCCGACCACTCCTTGTTTTAGCCCGAGCGCCAGGCAGGGTAACAAGTTTTAACAAGTACTATCTTTTAACGTCTTTTGGTATGACGCGGCCGGGGATCGAACGCCGGACCTTCCGCTCTACCACTAGACCATGGAGGCGGTCACAAGGGAAAAAACCCAGATGCTTCTATTCATTTGGGGCGTGACAACAGCCCAAATAGTCCATCTTAACGTCGTTCAACTAATTTAAGATATCAGAAAAACAATAAATCTATTCATGGGATCCCAAAGAAGAGGCTGCTTATTATAAACCGCCGCGCAAAAGAGAGTATACACTTGACAATCGTATTTCACCAAAAAATACAAACATTATCAAAATGATACGGGGATAAAATCAGTCGCCGAAACACTGTAAACTTAAGGTTCAAACCACAACTGTGATACCCGTATCAAGTATATCATCGAATAACTATTTCTTGTTTGTGTAGCGTAGCAAAACGAAGTACATTATTTAGTAGATGTAAATGTAAATTTCACACAGGGAAAAGCATGTTATATTTATTTTCTGGTGGTTTGAAATGAAAAGACGTTTGGGATTATCTGCCCTTAAGAATAAAAATGGCGGTAAGAAAACGACGTCAGCGTTTCGTTTCTGTGGTTTCAAAAAATAGTTTCAAGAGTAATTATAGAAGACTGGTCCCACAACGCAACATTTGTTTCATTTTCAGCCACTTTCGAACACAGGTGTACACTTTCATTCACCGGCTGTTTAGTTTCGTCAGTATTTGCGAGTTCTATACATTAGCACACTGAAAAAGTGCACGAAACAGCGCGATGATAACGTTCTTATCCATCGATGCTATACAAACACGTGACTGTTACCTGTCTGTCAAATACGGAATTGGGGCCGGTGGGGTAGCCTAGTGGTTAAAGCGTTCGCTCGTCACGCCGAAGACCCGGGTTCGATTCCCGATATGGGTACAATGTGTGAAGCCCATTTCTGTTGTCCCCGCCCGTGATATTGCTAAAAGCGGCGTGAAACCAAACTCACTCACTCACTCACTCACTCACTCATTGTGTTTGTACTGTTTCACTTACTCGAAGCAATGTCCCGCGGTGAGTACCCACTGCGGTCTGATGAGGGTGCCTGTACACAGGTGTCTCTGACGAGTCTTGTTGGTGAACGGGTGGTCCGGCTTGAAGTGGAGGGACACTAGGAACGGCCACTGCCCAGGCTCCAGGGGGGTGCCGCCCACCACGCCCTCCGCCACGCGCCCTAGGACTGCTGGAGGAAGAGAAACAGTATAGCGACAGTACAAATAGATCTTTAAACATGACCTTGTTTCTCAGGAAACCTCAACAATCTGTCTTGACATTACTGAAGTAAAACATTATTATATTATTGGATTTTTGGATCCCATCTATCCCATTTGAATATTTTTGACCCAGAATAGTGTTTCTCATCAGAAGATTTTTTGGACAGTCAAGCAATCATAGTTTATGCACGAAACAAGTAGTAATATCTTTATTTAATATTTTTTGTTTAACGCCGCACTCAGCTATATTCTAGCTATATGACGGCGGTCTGTAAATAATTGAGTCCTGACCAGACAATCCAGTGATTGACTTCATGAGCATCGGAAACGATGACATGCATCAACCAACGAGCCTGACCACCCGATCCCGTTAGTCGCCTTAGTCGATGCATGTCATCGTATCCAAGTTGGGAGGATCGATGTTCATGATGTCAATCACTGGATTATCCCGTCCTGACTCGATTATTTACAGACCGCCGTCATATAGTTGGAATATTAAACAAACATTCATCCACTGATCTCGAATCTCGAATGATAAAACGTACCTTTTATGATCGCTTCAACTACTTAATTCAACTGATAAGAAACAAGTCAACACATCGTCATACGAGAATATTAAAACGTTGCATATCAACAAAATTAGTCACAGCTTGGGGCTATTCCGGAGTATCGCCTATGTTCTCTGCATTGAAAATAATGAATGAGGAAATGTTTACCGCCGCTTTGAATAGTATTCAGTTACGTCACGTCAAATGCCTTAAGGTACGTTCCTATATTTCTTTCGGTAAGTATATTTCGGGCGCCGTATAACTAGTAACACATACATTGGTCAAACAATACCTGTTCTAGCTGCGTCTAGCACGCCAGAAACCTATGATTGTGGGTTCGAATCCCGGTTCGCCCCGATGATGTTTCTAGGTTTGTCAGCACCATACCCATGCTCGTGGGTTTCACCGAAGTGGTAAACGTCTGAGACCTGCATCACTTCGGGCTTTCCTCCCACAATAAGCTGACACCTGGAATACTGTTAAAAGCGGCGTTAAACCCAACTCACTCACTCTAAAACATATAAACGATTTTGATATTGCCTTGTCGCTAAGGACTGTTCCACCGTGTTGTCCAAATAGATTCTCGATCCATTTCTGCATCTCATTTTAAACGGTCAAGGTTAGGGTTCGATCCCCGGCCGCGTCATACGAAAAAGTGAGTGAGTGAGTATGGTTTTACGCCGCTTTTAGCAATATTCCAGCAATATCACGGCGGGGGACACCAGAAATGGGCTTCACACATTGTACCCATGTCGGGAATCGAACCCGGGTCTTCGGCGTGACGAGCGAACGCTTTAACCACTAGGCTACCCGACCGCCCCCATACGAAAAAGACGTTAACAGATGGTACTTGTTGTTACCCTGTCTGGCGCTCGGCATTAAGGGGCTAAAACAAGGACTGGTTGGCTCGGAGTCAGTATACTGTGTCTGAGTGGGGTATTCATGTTAAACTGCGGCATGGTATCTCAGTGAGCTAGCACTATAAATCGGCATCAGTCCGGACTAGTACAAGCAGACACACACGTCGCTATATAAGTGCAATAACCTCAACTGTTATATTTTAGATCGTGCAATATTATATTTACTTATCGAATTGGTAACTGGACCGGAAAAGATTTGTATCCGCATTTGCACTCAGCGATGGCATCCGCACCCTATCGATTCCAACCCAAGGACTAAAATATAAGTACATATATTTGAAGGCAGGTGTTTTAGGGATGACGATTCATGAACATTACAGGAGGGTTCTCCGAATGTTCCGAATCGGGAATCAGTTAGGAAAACACCGTGGTACAGCCCGCAGCTCTGCGTAGCGACACGCCAATATCAAAATCGTTTATAGGGAGCAGCACAAAGATACGACCCGTGAAGATCCGGGGTAGAATAGGTCTTCAGCAACCCATGCTTGTCGTAAGTGGCGACTAAAGGGATCGGGCGGTCAGGCTCCCTGACTTGGTTGATTGCATGCCATCGTATCCTAATGAGTGGATCGATGCTCATTATGTAAATCACTGAATTGTCTGGTCCAGACTCGATTGTTTACAGACCGCCATGATATAGCTGCAATATTGCTGTGTGCGGCATAAAACAACAACATCAACAAAAATATGTTACTACTACTACACTGTTTCGGGATACAAATATGCGCATATATTAACCATACATGTAATTCAGTAGTAAATAGCACACTTCCATCTGGACTTATTATTCTTTATTGAAGTACAGGATACAGAACATGTAGGAGACAAGTGACTTTGTTCGAATTAGGTCTCTGTTCACAAAGCAGCGAATGGATACCCGGTAGGATAAGACGGCCATGTGAATGAAAAAAAATTGTGACGCTTAGCAAATATGCATACTCCGAAAGAAGCTGAGAATTTGAATTAAATCTCATTCGTTGATAGGCTTCTAATGTACGCACCCAGCATGGTTAGCGCGGGGATACCACACAATTAACTAATAATTATTATAATACTTACCAACTCCGAGGCACACAACGAACAGCGAATGAAATGCTGCCATCGTTTCCAAAGTACACCTATTTGTGAAGTTTTAAAATCAGTGTCAATAAATTTCAGAAGTACATTCAACGACTATTCTCAACCAGTACAGTTGTCTCCCTTCCCTAGTTAATGTGATTTGCTAATATCGAAGGCCAACCGAATCTTTCTGTCTGTTGGTAAATGTGAACTTGCGAGATTTCACTATTGTAATATTATTTTAATACTAATCATATTAATACTAATAGGACCGGATTACAGCACGGCGATTTACATATGAGTGTTCCAAGTGAAATCCAAGCAATTTTCACTCTGAATTCAAGCTCTTTGATTTCTTCAAAAACATTTCGGACGTAGACCTATCCATATAGAATTATATGTGTTATTTTAATTTAGAAATACACGAAACATTAAGCATAATATTCCTTTTGACCAACATTTAAAGGACTCCTGTGAGATTATTCAGGCCGACCCAGCTCTCTATCGCCACCCCCATCCTTCCTCCTGGGGATGCGGCTTCCTGACCCAGTTGTCATGGTGTCACGTACATTGTAGATCTAAGATCCGGTGTATCCGGTACTCGAACATCGTGGTCACTGGTCACTTGTGTGACATCGCCATGTTTGTTTATGTCTTCATCGTCGTCGTCGTGGTCATGGACGTCGAATTCGTCGTCGTCGTCGCACTTTGGCCCTTTTTGCATATTATTGCATAAATAACATCTATGAGTTCTTGTCTACCTGTAGAAAAGATATTGTATGTTTTCATTGATGCGTTTTTGAAATATAGCTACTTAAAATTCTATAAAAGGGCCAAACTCAAGTTTCAAATGGGCCAAAGTCACTTTGTTAGATTTTGGCCCTTTTAGCTCGCATTTCCGTGTGTGGTTGAGACTGGTTGTCTGAGAGATTTTGAAAGTTTGGAACCTTAATATCATATTTCAACTAATTCAACAAAGTTGGCATTAGTTTAAATCATTTAAAAGTATTTCAATAGTATTTGTTTGTACTTTGAGTGGTAGTTTATCAATCTCATATGTATAATCCTGTGCAAATGCCTGAGGGTCAAAAAGGGCCCAAATACAGACATTGGCCCTTTCCACCTTTACACAAATTAAAAACGTAAGTTTTTGAATGTTTTTTTATAATAACATTTATATCTCTGCTGTCAGAATGCGTTAATGTCTAGGAATTTATCGGTAAAAAAAGTTCATTAACATACACAATATTATGTGTTTTCATCACTTTTCTCACAACAGGCTCCACATGACATTGGCCCTTATGGCTCTAAGCTCTTCAATTAGTTTAGCATGACGTCACGGGAGAGTAAGCGCTTCGCGGAATGTATGACGTCATAGAAGGGCGACGTCATCTCACTCTCGGCACAAGTCCGCCGTAGTAACCGGGAGAAGGCGTGTCTCCCTCGGCGCTGCCGTCATGGGCGTGAAATCGTCGAGAGTGAAGAAGCCCACGCCCAATACTTCTGCGGTTCATGGACTTAAAACCGATGTCATTACTCAAGGCGATGAGATAATTTCAACGATGGCAAATAATCGAGGATCAAATCTATGTGACAGCCTGATTGTTGGTGAGGTCCGCACGTCCACCCCGCCCTCCCCCAGGACGGCAGAGAACCATGCATCTGATGTTCCTAGAGACAGCAGGAGATGTCACCGAGAAACGCGAAGTCATATCCAGCGCCCGAAGGCGGCCAAGGGGATCAGAACCATCCGCAACAGGGACGCCGTGACGGAGATCTGCCTTCCCGGCAGTGTGGACGACACCCCGTGGGACAAAGTTTTAGTGGTAATTTGTTCAATATGGGAGTCGATCAGTGAGAATATGAACTGTAGAGCAAAAGAAAGTACCGGAATCTAAGTGCGAGATTGTCGGATTAACGGGTCTATAAAAAGCACTGATATATTCGGTTCCCATCATTAGTGTCGGATAAAGCCGATCGTCGGATTAACGAGTGTCGGATTTACGTAGTTGGCTGTGTACACCCATGTTTGATGGTGGCTAAAATGGTCATTCGATGGTGATGTATTTGATATGGGTACATAGTTGTGTTTAGGGCCATTAGTTTGCAATGTTTCGGCGACTGTTTTCAGCCTAGTAACGTTTTGATAACGTATGTATTTTGTAAATCCAATTTCCAAGTGTATATTTCTTTTGCGCAGCAGTTGATGCCAAAACACTATCGTTTTTAGCCTGGTGATTTCACTGCCGCTTCATTTACTCTGAAATCAATATGCACCTCCTGTTCCTACTTGTCAGCAGGGCCCACAGAATAACTATAAACCCACATACTAGTATCCTAGTGTACGTTCTCCCAATCCCCGGGATGCGGGGTGTCGATCACAAGACCAGAGAGCCCCCTAATCTGTTTGGACTTCCTTCTTATCGGAAAACCCGACATAACTTCCCCTTGACCATTGCGCATGGCCATCCCCATCCAGATAAACATTCCCTCTTTATGAAGTATCCCGTTTCCTATAATTTCTTTACTGGATAATACGGAGGTGGTCGTTCCGGTCCCTCACCTATCCAAGTCCACCATCTAGCCAAAGTCCACCCAACTCACTTATCCAAGTCCACTTTATCGAGTCATTGTCCACCCGACTTACTTATGCAAGTTCACTATTTTGAGTCAAAGTCCACCCAACTCACCCAGCCAAGTACATGCTTGCGAGTCATCGTCCACCCGTCTTACCCAGCCAAGTCCATTAGCTAATCAAGATCTACCCAACTCAACCATCCGACTCAACTCTATCGAGTCATTGTCCACTCGAGTGATCCATCCAAGTCCACTATATAGTCATTGTCCATCTGACTCACCCAGCCAAGTCCACTATCTATTCCAAGTCCACCGACGCTACTAATGGTATACTTACTAAACGAATGGACCCGCGAAGATCCGGGGTAGAATAGGTCTTCAAAAACCCATGCTTGCTGTAAAAGGCGACTATGCTTTTCGTAAGAGTCGACTAAGGCGACCGGGTGGTCAGGCTCGCTGACTTGGTTGATGCATATCATCGTATCCCAATTGCGTGGATCGATGCTCAAGATGTCAATTACTGGATTGTCTTGACCGGACTCGATTATTTACAGACGCCGCCATGTAGCTGAAACATTGCTAAGTGTGGCGTTAAACAACAAACAAACTAAACGAATGACCGAGGCACCAGGATGCGAATACGCCGCCATTATATTTATAAATCAGCAGAAAGCTCATTTTAAGAAGCGTCCAGACGAATGTTTTTCGATGGGCGTTTTCAGATATGTTTCCTAATATTTCAATACGCGCAAGTATTCTGGTTTTCGTAAAAAACGTAAGTAACAACATGGTTTGAAATCAGCTTAGGTCAAAGACTTGCTCGGCGTTCGTAAGTGAATTGCCATTACATGCTGTTATTAACCTGACACCTACAATTATTTAGTTACTGTGGGAAACAGAAAGTAAACTGCCGGGCAAAAGTAAGTATACCTTTGAAACTTCACACTTCACTCTGCTCAATACTGTGTACTGTGAAAATGCGACCCCATGTTCCTTTAGACGCCACGAGCCTGAGGTACTGATTGATACGATGCATACAATATCGGCTATGATACCCGTATCAAATATATCCCCAGCGAATAGCCGTTTCTTGTTTGTTTCATTTATAGCTACCATGGGTAGTATACTTTCTTTTGCCTGGCCGCTTAGTCAGTCATACGAACAATTTCGAATTTTTTTAATGAAGTCATTAAAGTTTTCTTCTGATTAGGATTCAAATTAGACCCCTTGTCCTATTTAATTCTCCAGGAACTGAAGAGAAAGTTAACCCTGCGGGAATCTGAGTGCAAGACGCTGGGTAAGGCTGTGGATGAAACTATCCATCAGAGGGATTTGGGTAAAAAGTCCTCTTCAAAAACAAAGAAGAAGAAAAACAGGGTATGTCTCTTTATGTGGCTTATATTTAAATGTTCTTGTTCATTCATATTATTTTTTTTGAACGAGGAAGCTAATTCAACGTGTTTTAGTCGTTTTGAGATGTTACATCCCCTGTGGTTCTCGGTCATTTTGATTACAAACAACAATATTTTACAAAGTGGACAATTTATGGATAACAACTTCTTTAATTCAGAGCTCAAGATAAGCTTTTGGTGTTGTGGGTATTTTACCCATGCATTTTAAAATCTTTGGGTATCAGTAATTCTATCTGGGTATTCAAATTTCTGTTACCCACTAGTTTTTACACATGTGGGTATTTAAGTTAAATATTTAAAAACACTATTTATCTAGTCCCTGCAAACTGGTGTCGTGTGGGTTCGAGAGCTTTATAGGACTCAAAAATACCAAGATACTTCCGCAAGAAAGTGTGATGGCAAATGATCATGATGTAACTGTCATCGTGGAGTTTGGCAAGGTTGACGGAATTCCCGTTTATAATTTCAAAATAAGTTGCTGATTTGCTAATCGAATACGCAGGGTTACTTCACAATATTTTGATGATACGCACAAGTTTTATTTTTGTAGCGTATCTGTAATGTTCGTTGCGTATTTGATACGCTTGGAGTTTAGTTTACTGCGTATTTCTCCATTTCTGATGCGTATTTTACGCAGATACGCAGCTTATCTGGAGCTCTGAATTTAATACTGTAAAGGCGACGTTTCGGTATACAATGTAGATCCTTATACTGTTGTAAAGCAAGACTGAATGAGGAACATTGTACAGAATATATATAGTGGTGGAGGATTAACAGTAGAGTATTAACAGAAACAACAATTGCATACATGAGTGGGATAACATGAGTAAGTAATGACAACAGAAGGAAAATACTGTCACGACATGATGGACAGAGAACACATAGGTGGAAGCCAATGGGACATGAAGCCAAGTTAACAGGATAAGTTTGTATAGGTGTAGTGATTATTTCCCCTTCTGTTGTAATTACTTACTCAGATATACCGCTTTCCTTGACGTAGTATTTCTTTTTGTGTACAAATTAAGTTCCACACAGCTACAAGGCATTCCTTACAGTGAGTAAAATGGACAGATAGACCTTTCCAAATTTATTCGTGTTCTTTTTACGATCTATTTGACGAATCTATTCTT